AGTGTCACCAACATGGAACTACCGGTACTGTAAACTATGATAAATGAGTATCAACTTGTGTTGGTTGATTCCATAGGTAGGGCCTATATTAATTAATTTAATAATTCCATACTCCTTTTATCTTCGTTACAATATGTCCGCAGATATATTATCGTATAAAATATCTCATTTTTTGTTGTTTCACAACCGATTGGATTATCAACATTACAGGTAGGCCTATTTAGGCTAAAACTAAAACCTAAGCTAAAACCCATTTAATCATAAAATTAAAAATATCAATATAGTTGTTTCGAAATATTTTTATTTAGCCTACAATGTAAACGAACATGGAATAAGGTTATGATCTATTTATTTATTATATTGATGTTTTGAATGTCAAAATATAATTGAGTTAAGATTGGTGTACGTTTTTAATGAACTTGAATACCGTAAACAAAACTACCTAGATCAATATTCAACTCAAAAAGACTGAAAACATAATTTCACGTTTTTTTAGGTGAGGATAGGCAGGTATAATGTTACACCACATTTTAGTGTAGTGTTTTAAGACCATAGTGTAGCTTAAAAAACAAATATCTTTTCCTACAGTCACCTGACAAAGTGACCTTTATTGCACCGATTATAGCACAGCAAGTTGCTCATTGCTGCACATCTACTTTTGCAGTTACTGTAGGAAAAAATAATGTGTAAAGCTTGTGCAAACTGCATTTGCTGCACTCGAAAAACTTACCACTGCAAACTGCAGTGCGTAAACATTTCTCTCCTTGCAGCAAAGTGCCACTTTACTAATAAAAACTACAAATACCGCTCACTTAGCCTACTGGTCACTATCTCAAAAACTACAAAGCCTAATAACTCAGGAATTGGAATGGAGGTTCTAAGTGTACAATAAGAAGCGTTTTCAAGAAATTCCATCAGTACTCTGATCCAGTGTCCTTTAAGCCGGGTTTACACGCTACGATAAAACGTAACGATTTGTCTGCAACGACAAAACGTTCATGCAAGACGGAATGTGTAAACTGGTAGTCGTTACGTTTTGTCTGAGTTGGAGTGAGGTTGGAAGGTTGGTGGAAATTTCCACCAATTTCTTTAGATCGTAGCGATTTTCTGTAGATCGTAGCGACAAGTCGTTGCGTGTAAACGGTGACTCGGTCATCGTTGCAACCTGTAGACACTCCGATGTCGCGTTGGTCCAGTTAACTGTTGTGTAATTGTACTGTGTAGTACTAACCACTGTGGTATATTTGGACTGTGTAAAGTAGTGTAGTTTATTTTTACTGTTTTGTGTCACATTTGTCACTATGTCAGACATAAGTCAAGCCTCTTGTGACTTTTTAATAGAGTTGAGGCCAATGTAGAATTAATCAACAAATATAAAGAAATTAACCCGTCTGCAGACAGGGCAATTGTCATCAATTTCAGGTATTATTTTGCAGGAGGGATGTTTTAGAAATGAGTGTTGTGAATTCCAAGTCTTTGAAACTTCTACAAGTTGCAAGGAATCGTAAATGAGTCTTTCATGGGGAGATACTGCCTTTCTAACTATGGTGTTTTTTTATATGTGGAGAAACCATGTTCAATAAATCGTTGTAGGTATCCTCAGTCATTCTTAAATAGTTCCTCCAGTCAGAGGGTTCGTTCCTCAACTCCTTTCTTTAGCAACTCCACATGAGATAACTGTTTTTTCAGTAGCCAATGCCGACTCCACTTACTTCTAGGTTTTCTTTTCCTCTTAAAACTTGTTGCAACAGAAATAATGTAAACAGACAATAACAATAACTCATCCATCGTAAAATATACAGGGAGCCTATTAACTACTTCACAACAAGATACATCTGGGAGTGGTTTGAGAGCCAAAGTTAGAGAAAAAGACGGAACGTGTAAATGGTCCGCTCAACCTACGACAAAACGTAACGATTAGTCGTTGCAGACAAGTCGTTATGTTTTATCGGAGCGTGTAAACCAGGCTTTAAAGTTTTCATGTCATCTAAAGTGTTCGTGCTTCTTGTATGTATCATATTCACAGCATTTATTGCCATGTTAAGAATAACATGATTGTTTATGTTTTGTTGTCAGTTAGTTTTTACATGATTAAAATCAAGTTTTGTATCACTAAATGTTGTACTTTGACAGCAAATTTTCCCTATAATAGGGTAGTAGCTATTACCGTAGGTGGCATGGTAAGACCTAAGCCCCGGGACCGATTTACTTTTCCATTTTGATGTCCCCAGAGGCCAAAAACACCATTCGTTCAAATTTATTTATACCATGTCTGTAAATGCGATAACTTCAGTAATATTTGTCCGACTTTGATGAAATTTGGTTTAAAGGTGTCAAGCTGAATAAACTTGAATGAGTTTGCGAACCAGCATAATAAGACCATGGGAACAGGTTTTTACAAGGGGTTTTATAGGGTAAAAATTGGTTTTCAAATTTTTGACCCTCAATTTCTCTTTGGACCTTTTTCAAGAATCTCAAAAAATAAATAAACCTATCAAAGTTTTTTTTATGGCTATTGGCAACAGAAAAAAGAGAAACCAGGTAAATTCCCTTATAAAAACTATCTATTGGTTTATGTCTTTTTTACCACTTTTGCCTATATTTTATCATACTATTGAATATAGATCATCATTGATTTATGAGATTATTGCCATGTATTCGATCACTGGGCATTTTTTTTATTAAAATTGAGTGCAGAAAGGCACTTTGGCGATATGAGTGTTGCACATATTTTGGAAAATTAATAGTTGTTTACAGCAACTGGATTGAATTTTTAATAATTTTTATGTGTGAATGATTTGGAAAGTCATCAAGTTGGAAAATTGGAATTTACTGCAGACTTTTTAGAGAGGTTACTTCGATGTAATCATTTAGGGTACCGGTAGTGAAAACATAGCCTAATATGACATTAAGAACTTACACTCTCAGAGAGCCTTTGAATGTTATCGGACTAGCAAGAAGGTTTGAGCATGTTTACTTAAGCTTACTCAACAACAAGAACCGTTTAGCCTAATTAATCTCTAACAAAATATTCTCAAAGTGCACCGAGCAGCAGCCTAAACAAATACTATGTAATTTTCAGTTTACAAACTAAATATATGTACAAATTTATAACTAACTAGCTGAACCCGGCAGACGTTGTCTTGCCTTTGACTATTTATAATCCCGCGGGCTTTGCCCCGTTTAACTTCTTAATTTTCAAGATGATCTCGTTCGCATGGCTCAATCACGTCCTGGTTGAAGTTCGTTCGCTACGCTCACTCACCTTTAGGTTGGAGCTCGTTCGCTACGCTCACTCACCTTTAGGTTGGAGCTCGTTCGCTACGCTAACTCGCCTCCAGGTTGAAGTTCGTTCGCTACGCTCACTCACCTTTTGGTTGCAAATTAGCTGTTGTCATAAATGTAAAAGAAATAATAGTGCTGCACCCTGTTGGTAATCCTTGTAACTTTAATGCTATTGAACATCATAGAACAGAACCAACTTGTTTAATTGAAACAGCTGTTAAGATTCATTAATTCCATTTCTCATAAGGTTAACATGGGAAACTCCAGAGCCACTGGGGCGGAGCCGATTGGACGGATCACGAAATTGATGGTGTATAAACCTATTCCATGACATTCTTACACGTATGTACCAAGTTTCGTGGCAATCGGTTCAGCGGTGTCTGAGTTTATCACTGTCAAACAAACAAACAAACAAACAAACAAACAAATATATATACAAACATCCTCTTTTATACTTATAGATAAATATTATTCAAAGTCACAGTCATGCTTGTGATATTCGGTGTTTGGTAAAGTTTCTCAAGTTTCTAAAAGTAATTTCACATTTCAGTCAAGGCACAACAAATAATATCCAAACCAAACATTTACAAATTTACAACTTATAATCACAATGTAAACTAATACCTACCTCTACTTAAGTAAAATCACACCTAAACTCGACTTTTTTAGTTGTTGGTCAACAGAGATTGAGGTTAGTTAGTTAGACAAATATTCACTAAAGTAAAAAAGTCTGCACCAGTGGTGCAACCTAAAACAAATAAACACCAGAATGCACAGAATTTCTTAAACTTTTGAATGAGATACGTTATCATATGGATAATTATATATTTCAGTGAATATAATGCGTTTTATGACTGCGACTATTATAGTCGCTCTGCCACTTAACGAACAAGTAAAATTTGATTGTTTGTTTATATTGTTGTAGGATCATATGTACCTAATTATATTGTAATGATTTTTAAACCATAATACAGGAAATGTCTTCCTTATTGCAGTGGTACTGCCTGTTTCTTTGTAGACAAAAAATATCCCTTGTTATGATTTTTTTAAATATCCTGTTTGGCAGTTTTGTGACACATACATGGTGCAATTGACTTTGCTCGAAATTTTTGTTCACTTTAGTGCTCAATTACAGTGATCCCTTTGTGAGGTAAAGCTATGTAACAAAGTGCAAGTTTAGAACCTTATTTTTCTAACGGAATAAAAATTATTCCATTTTACAATCGTTCTTAACCATTTATTTGGAGTTAACCAAAACCTTGCAAAACGGGACTATCATATTCGCTGCCCTACAGAAACCACGTTCCACGACTATTATATGTGTAGTCCAGTTGGAGGGTTAAACCATGTCCTCTTCCATAACAGCAATAAGCATTTTATACTTATATGCCAACCCCGTATGAAGGACGGTACTCTGCTAGTCATTTATAAAAGACACATCTGCACCCAGTTCCTGCATCTAGGTACATAAAAATTAAGTTATATTTCAATTTTTTACTTTAAGAGTAATTTATTGGATAGATTAATGTGTTAGCCAGTTAAAAGAGAAAGGGATTGAGGAGAAAGAGGATTGAGGAATGAACTGCTATCCTTTGATATGAAATGCATGTTCATCAGCTGTTTTTGGCATTACAAGTTGTTTGGTTCTAAATTTAGTGTCCCCCCTCAACCGCTGTTTGGTTTCTAATTTTGGGTTAGAACAATGTCCATTTGCTTGCACCACTGGACTAATATCAAGTTAGCCGTTGAGCTGGTTGTTCTGTATATGCTTATTTAATGTTTCTTTTAATCCACTAACATATTTAGGTTGTGAATGGAGGTATGTAGTTTTACTGTTTATAATAAGACTGATAGGCCTACTTGTTTTCACTGTACTTTGTTTGATCCATCCTCTACTGGCTGTGTTAGGTTATATTTGCTTTAGGCCTATAAGCACTATATTAGAACAAGTGCTATTGACGGTTTTCTCAAGATAATAGTGGTTTATTTATTAAAAGTTGTTTAATTGAAAGCATCCGGTCAACCAGTAACAATTTAATGTAACAGTGAGTGTTTTAGAACATATTGAAGCAGGCAAAATAATTCATTTTTCATTTACGATTAAAATAAAACGATAATTACCGTACTTACTACAGTACCTACCAGAATAAAGCATGTTGATTTATTATTTGAACTAGTAACGTGATGTAACTTCTTCAGCACTATTGAACAATTGCTAACTGAACTTTGATATCTATTTCACTTGAATATTGCATTTAAAGTTTTAATTATTGAGATTAAACTTGAAAATTTAACAAGATCAGGTTTGAGATTAGCTCTTGCTTATTTCTGTAGGCCTATGCTTTTGAATCATAATTTGCCCGGCAAGAAGAAGTTTAAGTTGTCTGCACTTGCAGACAATTCTCAGCAGCTCTAGTTTCCCTGAAGGACTAAACTTTTTCCGAGCTAATTTTGAAAAGTCTGCGTCTGTTTGAAGGAAATATAAAAAAGTACTTCTCATCCCTTGATATTTCCTCAATGGACTGGGTGAGAAATCCTTTCATTGAAGCTGCTTACAAGACTGCATTGTTTACGACTGATGAAGAGAGTGAGCTGATCAACTTGAAAAATGATCGTGGTTTAAAGCTACAGTACTCCAAATTAGTTGAAGATGCGGAAGCAGAATCAAAACTGAAGAAAACCAAAGTTAATATTGATATTTCATCTTTTTTGATTCCTTTGCTAAAGGAGTAGGTATCCGTTAATTTCAAAGAAGGCCATGAAAGTAATATTGCCCTTTTCTACTTCGTACATTTGTGAAGCTGCATTCTCATCAATTAACGCAATCAAGACCAAAACCTGTTCTCAACTAAAGTCTTTGGAAGACGATATGAGAGTCTGCTTGTCAACCATTGGTCCAAGAAAGAAACTTTTTAATGAACAAACGTCAAGCACAAGTTTCCCACTAGAACTGAATCAGGGTTTATTAAACATTTCTTACTCATTATTGGTAAATTCATACATTTTAATCAAGCTTATTGTTTAATTATTATTTAAAACTTTCCATTTAATAAAAACTAAATAATGCACATATGTTGGATAACAAATGTGAGTTTTATATTTTTTACCTTGGTAAACCCACCTTTATAGGCTACACATACAGGGTGACAAAAAAGTCTGGAAACGGTTTAATATCTTTTTAATTAAATTCGTTAGAAAATTCAAACCTTTCACATCACCACAGCTATCTGATAAGAAATAAGAATCTTTTACTATACAAAATATAGTAACACCTTATTACATAATTTATTTATTATCAGATATAATGCTTGCAAAAAGTAGTTTTCCTACATATACTTATATGTAGGAAAACTACTTTTTGCAAGCATTACCATTTTTGTACCTTCACCAGGGGACGGCCCATGAGAAGTAGGTACGTAATCTTTAACGTAAGCATAGGCTGATATGCACATCGTTTTAAAGGTCTGTTCAAGTGGAGTTCATTGCCAGAAACCGTGTCAAAAAAGGTTCATCCGTTACAAAATGGCGGCAGTCCAAAGTTCTTGCGGAATATACCTGCACATGCCTTAGTAATGGTAAATACTCGTAGTCAACATTAGCCGGGAAATCTGAAACCCGGTTAAATTTGTTTTGAAGACTGAAAAAAGTTACTAACTAGTGGACTTTAAAATACAATTTCAGCTCTCACACTAATGTTTAATACGAGTATTTATCAATACTAAGGCCTGTGCAGGTATATTCCACAAGAACTTTGAACAGCCGCCATTTTGTAACGGATAAACCTTTTGAGACGCGGTTTCCGACAATGAACTCCACTTGACTAACCCTTTAAAATGATGTGCATATTAACCTATGCTTACTTTAAAGATTATGTACCTACTCCTTCGGGGGTCGTCCCCTGGTAGAGGTAAAAAAATGAAAATGCTTGGAAAAAGTAGTTTTTATACATATGTAAGTTGAAGTGAAAGGTTTGAATTTTCTAACGGATTTAGTTAAAAAGTTATTAAGCCGTTTCCAGACTTTTTTATCACCCTGTTTATATATTTACTAGTAAAAAACAGGTTTTACGGGGTAAGGTGTAATTGAAAAAAAGAGTTTTTTATGCACTTACTAAATGTAATTTCAACCAACGATATTTTTGTAGACAAGTGTGCCGTGACTACAAACGTGAGTTAGTGTGCCCTGAACGGAAAAAGGTTGGGAAACACTGCACTATAACATAGAACAGACAAAACGTTAACAAAAAACACAAAACATACAATATTGTCCTAACCCTTTGGGTGCCAGAAATTTATTTTGGTACTTTCTGAAAAGTGCCAAAGTTTTTTACTAGGTATGTCTTAAAAGTGCCAGGCTTGCCGCAGGGGCGAAGCGTAGTGCGCAAGAATAAAAATTGGTAAAAATTATAAATTTTCATCCCAAAAGTGCCAAGGAACGATAAATCGTGCCTCGATAGTATGAGAAATTGAATGAAGTCATCGTTGTTGTAAAATTACAACCGAGTCAATCGTTATGCCCATTAAAACTCACATGATCGAAAGTCAGATTTAATTTCAGATCGTACTTATCAGATACTTATTATTCAGATTTAATTTTATTTGCAGATGACAACAGCAATAGTCAAAGGTTAAGTCAAAAATGAATTGGCACTTAATAACTCTTCCTCTGGTCAAAACATAAGTTTCTGGTTGAGCAAGAAAGGTCTTAGCTTAAATCGTGCCAAGACTAAAATATTAGGCTAGAATTTTTCGCCTCATCAAACAGGTCAAAAGAATTAATTTTTGCAGTTTCCAACACTAACATTGACCTTCCTGTCTGCAAATAAGTAGATTTTCTGGGACAAACAGTTCAAGATAATTTAAAATAGAATAACCACTTTGACCATTTATATGATAAACTAGATAAATCTATATTTCATATCTGAATTATTAGAAGAATTTTTGATGACAAGACAGTGATATTAGTAATACCATGGTTATTTATTATCAATTAATTATGTCTTACAGTTTTTTGTGGTGGGCAAATTCACCTTCCAGCAAATATATCTTTAAACAACAAAAAAATTACATCAGAGTCATTCTGCTCAAGAAAATCATGTAGATCCAGTTTGAAAAAAATTAAACTTTTGACCCTTCTGATTTTTATATTTTACACTTGGCACTTTCCATTAAAAACAAAATTTATTTATTTGAAAACTGTAAAAAAAACTCATACTTAATTATGAAACAAGACATAAACAACTTTTGGAAAGTCCAAGCCACAGATTAGCTTTGTTCCACAATGGGCCTTATTATAAATGCATACAACTCTACAACAAATTGTCCTATTATTTCACAGACCATTCTTTGAGTTTAAATAATTTTAAAAAGAAACTATTAGAAAAATTGATTGCACTTTGTCCTTTTGATATAATTCATTTTTATCCTGTCAACTTTGTACATATTTATTATGTGTAAACTATTAATATTAAAAAATATGCTATTTATATAAAAGCAGAACTGGTCCTTTGATCTCCAAGGCCAAGTTGTGTTATATAAACCATATCTTATATAAAGGTTGGTGAACCACATGTGCTCTCTCAGTAGACCACTGTCCAACCTTGAACTTGTTTCTTTTGATTTTCCACATTAGACTAACAGAAATAACTTTTGTTTCAGCATACTACTGCATTAGTAAATGTAAGTAGCCTATCCACAAAACTGTATTCGTTATTAATAAATGTACAAGTTTTACTGTCTATTATAATGCACATTGTTTAAAGGGCATAGTTACATCACAAGTTGTATACATGTTATGGAGGAATGTTTAAATTAAAAGCGCATGCTTGTGCAAAAAAATTAATTTGATGTCATTCCATTTTTTTTAGCCATTCCTATTTAATTATTTGAATTGTGCATATTCTTGACTTGCTATACAAACGAGAAATATTATGAACTACAACGTGACAGGATTTTTTATTTTAAGATTCTGAATCAACCACTTGACAGGTTTTAATGATGTGTTGAAGGAAAGATAACTTTAAAAGGCAGGGAATGTTGAAGCTATAATTTTAGTTTAGCGTTTAGGTTCTTTAGATATTAAGTTTTATTTAAAGAAAAGTCTAGCAGCTGACATGCTCATTTTAAGATTGTTTCAATGTAATTTGTTTTATAACTAACAGCTGTTTCAAACTTTCATTAAAATATTTACGTTACAACGTTACAAGTGTTTACACTAATATTGATCGTCGGTATTACATATTTTTACGATGTTTGCGTTTACAGGAAATGTGTAGCCTAATTTTGAACTCCATATTCCAAACATTTAAATGTGTATAATCAAGTTTCGACGTAAATATAATCTGTTTGAAATTTGAACTCATGTTAGGGATTTTTTTTTTTAGCGAACTATTGCTTAGGTAATTTAGGTTACACTTGACTTCTTAGGATACGGTACTTCTTTTTCTTGATGTTCGAGTGTGTATATATCATCGGCATAACAACATTTTGGTTAGTAATGAAAATGTAAACTGGTGTAGTAGTAGGTCACTAGAAAACTGTTCAATAAGCTGCAGGGTGTCAGTAGAAACCAAAATCGATTTAGGCCTATACCATACCATAACTATCCCAGTAGTATTGTATGGTTCAGAAACTTAGCCACTGACCAAAGAACCGAAAACTCTAATTGCTGGGTTTGAGAATGAGAGTGCAGAAAAAATATCCTGACCAGTTCAAAACCACGGAGGTTGAGATACGAAAGAACAGAGAGATAAGAGAAATGTATAAACACCCAAATATAGGAGTGCTTACTGAAAGTAAAAGGCTCCGGTGGGCAGGCTATGCATGGTGGAAAGAAGATAAAATCAACTTTTAAAATTATCGGATTTAAAATGCATATCATATCGTGTTGTTGGCCTATAATTGGATAAAAGAAATAGGTGGTCACGTGACATTTGTTGAAGGGACAATTTTCCCAATTAAAACTGTCAGAATTCCTCTTTATGTGTGTAAACTTGCTGTTCTGACCTATGTTTAGTTTTAATCGACTATTCGATTCCTGTACATAGGACAGGCCAACTAATACAGAATTTTATGATTATTCAAACTTACAAAACAGTTGGTGAAAGTAAACATCTGCTTTTAAATTTTATTTATTTGTAAACATTGTAGTTCTAAAAGTTTGACATTCAACCCCTTAAAACACTCTGGGGCGGAGCTCTTTTGATGAATCTGCATCAAACTTTACACAAACCATCCTTGAATAATGCTTAATAATAATAATGCCTGTATGTTTCATTACTATCAGTATCTGTCAAGCGGTTTCGGAGTCCATAGGGTATATACATACATACTTCCTCTTTTATATAGATATTCATAATATGTGTAAATTATTCATAATGCATGATTTTTATTGACATGTCGCATATTCATTGCTGATCTTCAGCCTCTGTATTGTGATTTATCCTGATGAATAAATTAAATTGAATTGTTTTGAATTCAAGATAAAATATTAAAGTTAAAATTATGTAGGCCTATGTTATTTTTTGGGGTGGTTTCTTTGACAATGAAGAATAGAAGCTATCTCATTCCTACGTGTTATAGCTTGTTTTGTACAGAATTTGCTGATGTCAAGTACTTGACCAAGCCAAGTAATAAAATGACAACATACTCTAAACCTACATGCAAGGCTGGTATTTCAACATCAGTTGACAGACCATCGGCATCTGTTGGAACAAGACTCACCTTGCTTAATATAGAGTAAAAACTAAGTGATAAATAGCAAAATAGCATTCACAACTCACACGATAGTACTGTAATCAGGTAGTATTAATAACACTCATGTGAATTTTTAAAATTGAAAATAAAACTCAGTGATAAGTTCTTTCCTCATAAAATTAGAAATATTAACTGTTCAAGAAAGGTTCATACATATTAATTTGAAATGTGTTAGTAAGTTTTGGTAAATATTAAACATATTTAACAAAAATATTAGGTATCACTTCTTAAAACTACATCTTCTATGTGACATATATTTTTTTATCAAATCACCAATAAATTAAGAGAAAAAGTATAATTTTGATAGTAGCACTATCCGTGAGTGACAAATTCATCTTTGTTCTAGTGGAAGAAAACATTGGCTGGTCCGTATAAGTCAATGGTGATCTGTATTAGTGTTGAAGGTAGCAGTGGGTGTTGCAGTGTTGGCGGGGAGGAGGAGGCATGACTGATGTTACGATGGCTGACGCAAACCACCGAGCCAACGGCGGCGCGCCAACGGGCGGCTGGGACAGGGTGGCTATACTGGACGCTGGTGCACAGTACGGCAAAGTCATCGACAGGAAGGTGCGCGAGTTGTGTGTGGAGAGTGAGATACTGCCTCTAGACACACCTGCATTCACACTCAAGGAGAAAGGCTACAAGTGAGTCAGAGGGGATAGCTAGGTTGTCATTTGATTTATAATATTTGTTTAAGATTATTAATTCAGGAACCTGGTAGAAACCTTCAGGTGTCAAATGATGGTCAAAAGTGGTTACTGCTTCCGTCTATCCCCAATCTCCCGAAAACGTCTACAGTATTTAAAAAACTGCCTAGATTTTTTAAATTTTTTACGGAGGGATATAAATTGTCTGAGCCATGAATTTTCTGGTGATCATTAATCAGTGTTTTTTTTAGAGTTCAAGCAGGAGGAAGTTGTTCTGTTAACTAAGTTAATTTTACTGTCTACTATGCACAAGTGAGTACTACGACTATCCGCAGTACTATCCTGATAATTTGACCAATTCGTATATACCAAGGTGAGAATGTGGTTCGGATTCCACTATAAACTGTAGGTCCCTTAGTTGCCATTAGCTGTATGGGCTATTAATTAACAACTGTGTCTAAGGAACATGTCGGCCTTAGTCACTAACAAGACTACAAGATTGCGCCACTCATCCTACACTCATCTCCATTCATACTTAGCTCAAAATACCTACTTAGTATGGTCGCCATTTCATCAAAAAGTATTAAAGTATTAAACTATGAAAAGTCATTGAACTGTTTAGTCAGCTGCCAATGGTGTTTCTTACAGTAATAGACCTATATGTAACTACTGTCGGGGAAAAAAGTTTAGACACTCGAGCTTAAGAGGTCTATAGAAAAGTAAGCAAAACACTTCGAAAATCAGGGAGCATATAAAAAAATCTGTGCGATTTGATGCATCGGTTCGTGCATGGGTATGTAGGACGGGCCAACAGCTAGTTTAAAATAATAATGTAAATTTTTAATGTTTCAGGGCTATAATTATATCAGGGGGTCCAAGCTCTGTATATGCAGAGGATGCTCCCAGATATGATGCAGATATATTCAGGATAGGAGTTCCAGTCCTAGGTATGTGGTGTGAATAACTCGGAAAACACATGGTTAAATGGGGTAGTCCACATTAGCCCTAAGCCAGATGTCAAAGTGTGGAGCTCAAGCTCCACAACTGAAATGTTTTGGACATGTGACTACATAAAAAAAGATTAAGCCATGGAGAGCATTTTTTAACTACTGAACTGCCAGAACGGTATTTTAGAGAATATTTTTGTGTGAACAAAGAATAGTTTGATGAGATTGAAAGTGACATTAGTCATATAGCACAAGGTGATGTTAAAATTACCATCTGAATTAAATGCTCCATTACTATATCTTTCACTTACAAAACACTAGAAAACCAATGCACTGTATTCCAGATACAATGCCGCGGAGGCCTGCTGCACGCAGCCTATGCTCAATGTGCGGTGCTCCATATAAACCTGTGTATTACAGAATCAGCCGAGGCTTGCCTTCACCTCGCCTCACTCCAATGTGCGGGCCTAAGGGTTCAGTCATTGTTTCCAACACGAATAGTTATGTCGTAATAGTCAATAAATCGAACAAATCACCATCAATTTGCTAACCGCGATCTAACCGCTACAAAAGAATCTGGTAAACCCCATCTGAGAAGCAGCTAATTTAGTGTTGATAGCCTGTTTATTTACGTTTTGGTGGCACTTCACTAATATTAAAACAAAATAACACTATGATGTGGTTAATTGCCATTAGTTTTAACATACAAATAAACTACACAAACACATAAAAATTTGGGGTCTGGGTTACAGAAAATTTAAGGTCGGTATGGTACAATATTTTGTACCTCCGTTCTAGGTACAAAATTGGTACGGTACGCGGCTACCAGTATTTTTGCCGTTTTATTCTTAGAATTGTATTTAAACCATCCATATATAAAGCTAGGATGGATTTGAACTAATTGAGAAAACTGTGAGCCCATACATACAGTTTGGGGTTTTTTATTGCATCATTACCCTATTAATAAATTATGAAAATTGTAAACAAACATCTGATAAACCTTTTATGTGCTCTGAACTAACCAACTACCTGTTGACTACTAAATTAAATTGAATGTATTCGTATTGTATTGTTATAATAGTCTGTAGCGAACTGAATTTGTACCGCATAAAATGCGGTGATGGCGGTAATTAGGCCAGAACCGTACCATACCTACTTTTTCTGTACAACGCAGACCCCTTATAAAAATACATGATAGAGAAACATATATTATGGTTTGAACTCACATTTATGAAGTTGATGGATGTTGGCCTAGAGTCGTTCCTGCTTTTGTTCAAGGCAGTAAATGTAATGGTTAAAAGAGAGCAGTCCTAGTCCTTTAAATATCTAATTTTAGCTTTTGGACAGGATTTAAATTAAACTTTTTAGGACAGGAATATCAGGTTGTTTTTGTGTCAGAAATGATCATGACGCTTTTAGTAAAAGAACCCTGGTTTGTTTTCAGGTATTTGTTATGGAATGCAGATGATGAATAAAGAGTTTGGAGGGCAAGTTATAAGGAAAGATGGAAGAGAAGATGGACAGTTTGCTATAGATGTTGATCCTAAGTGTATATTATTTAAGTAAGCCAATGTCACATATATTTTATTCCAAGTTTATGCCATTGATTCTGTCAATGAAAAGAGTTTACTGGTTTGTCATAAAATTAAAAGTCTGAGGGCTTTTAGTTACACAAAAAGAACACAAATACATCATCAGTATTTTGTCCTAGAGTAGGACTTCTTCATAATAGATTGATATGTTTGTGTGAACCAGAACTTTTTTGCAGGCCATCCATAAACCCCTTGACTCTTATCAGGTATCCTACCTGCACTTGAATTCATTTCTACAAACACCCCCTGTAATTAGCCCTACAGATTTACCTTGAAATAAAAAACCCATTGACATAACCACCAAATCCCATGTCCCCTGTGATATATTGATATTCTGTAACATTCCATTCTAATCTTGTTATTTCCATTGAGCAACCCCTTTGCATTTGGCTTTTTCGTACTTTTTTTTGCACCTTTATTCTTTTTATGTACATGATCAAGCCTCCAAATTCTCTTACTGCTCATGACTATAGTCATTGTTTTGAATAACATTTCCTGATCTCCTGTTTAAGTCTCCATGTTATATCTTCAAGTGTTAGTCTATATATTTCTCAATGTTTTATTTTGAAAATTTATTAGGCCCCAGCTAATTGTTCAGCCGTGAAATAAAAGTTGAATCACCAATGTTTGTTCTAATCTCTTGGCAGTAGTTTTAGTTTTATTTTTAATTTTAAAAAATCTCTTAAAGAGTTAATAATATAGATTTAGTTTTGTAAAGATAATTAGTTGATATAGGCCTATACAGTAGACTCTCAGTAATCCGGCATATATAATATTCGATGTGCATATCAACCTATGCTTACATTAAATATTTTCTTCTTACTCCTTGTGGGCCAGTAGAAGAACTCGCCCTTACTCACCCTTGGAGGAGAAGAAAATTGACAATTTTTGCTTAAAAATGTAGGTTTTAACGATAAATATCTAAATACAAAACTGTGCTACTGTCGACCACGCTGGGGGGTGACAACAAATAGTTTTCATGAAAACCATAGTGCCTATAACAACAATCAAAAATAAAATTGTGTCAGGCTTTCCGTGCTCACTCAACCCCTGGACTATAGTTAATGGAACCTTCGGACTGAAAAACCGAGAATTTTTTTAACGATTCTTGGTCCCAGTTATTTCTTTAAGTACCGTTGGTATCGAAAACCGTCTTGTGGAACCGACATAACAGCTAAAGAATATATCATTTGCAGGGGCCTAGATAAGTCACAGATAGTACTGTTAACACATGGTGACAGCATTGAGAAGGTTGCAGAGACTTTTCGGGTGATTGCCCAGTCTCGCAATTTTGTCGCAGGCATCGCCAACGACAAGTTGAGATTGTACGGTCTTCAGTTCCATCCTGAGGTTTGTTTGGTTTTTCATGAATAATAGTGTTTTTTTTTATGAATTTCAAGCATGAAAAAGTAAAAATTTAAGCATTTAGATACTGTACTCGACAGATAAGTGTGTACTTTTTTGCACAGATTAACTGTTTCACCAATAAGTCAGATGTGGTTTATATAAATGATCTCAAGTTGGTATTGTTTTAAGAATACTAGGGGTGTGCGTTGCATCAAAAATGCATTAAAATTCTGATTTGATTTGATGCATTGAATCGTGATTCGATTCAGTGGTGATCAAAAAACAATTCGATTCATGAGTGAGTCAGTATCCAATCCATATACGAAAAACCCTTACAGAAAGTCAACGCAATACAGGAGCGTGTTGATGTTGCGTTTCCTTTGTGAAGCGGTTCTTATTTAATGAATTCTTTGCTTGTAAATATTTCATTAATTGTTTTATAATTATTTGTTTTGACATTGCAAATGACAATAAGTATTGTTAAGTGTAGTAGCCTAAACTACTGTAATAGCAAAAACAAGTCACTCCAAAATCATTCTAAAAATAACACAGGTCTGAAAAATTGTTACTTGATACTTAACTAGCAATTGTTTTAGACTGATAAACTTGGTATTTGTTTTGTCTCCTATGTATTCCTTGTAGTTTGTAGGTCTGATTCTATCCTCTCATTTTATTAATTTGTGCCAATTGAAAGTTACAGTATAAATCTTGCAAATGTTTTTATTTGTTTACACAAAAACATATCTTTATTTGTTACATCAATATTCAAGAATAGGTAACATGCTTAACAATATGATTCTGAAAGTAAAAATTATAAATAGGCAAGTAAAGCAGCTCACTGACATTTCCAGCAATACAGGTTCTTCCATTATATGATTGAAAATAAATATTTTTCCACCCTAAAATTAATTTTATTTTGTCATATGTATGAATAGGCCTAACACCACATCAACAAACATTTTCATTACTTTGTGTGGTAAATTTTAATTTGCCTCTGGTTATTTCACTCCAATCATTGACAAGTATGAATAGTAAAATGCCGTATTGCTTCGAATCGAGTTGCATCGATTCAAATTGAAAACCTTCTGAATTGAATCGTTGCTTGGTTGCTTCAAATCAAAATTTTTTTGCTGCTTCGCACATCCCTAAAGGACACCTTCACAACATATCCATTTTTATTTTAGTGGTCTGATTTCTTTTTTCTTTATGTTAATTGTTATGTTTCGTCAAGACTTGTAAAATGATACCAAACTCAACTATACTTGCTGTTTGAAAATTTTGAGCTACCCCCTACCCTCGCTACCCTAAGGGCAAAATTTTCAAAACTGACCAATTATTGTAGCCCTTCATATCCAAACAAGTTGCCGCAAACCGATTTAAAATATCTCAAATCGTTAAAAATTTAATGTTTAATGGGGTGCAAGTTAATTTTCAGCTACCCTCATGGTTATTTGGGTATGAAATGTTTTAGGGCGCCATTTTCTTATAAGTGGGCCGATTTTGGTTTTCTTTAAGTCAATTGTTATGTTTCGTAAAGACCTGTAAAATGATAGCAAACTCGACTATACTTGTCATTTGAAAATATTGAGCTACCCTCTACCCCTGCTACCCGTAAGAGCAAAATGTTCAAAATTGACCATAATTATTGTAGACCCTCATATCTTAGAAGGTTGCTGCAAACAGATTTCAAATATCTCAAATGGTTGAAAAGTTAAGGGGGAGGGGGGTGTAAGTTACTTTTCAGCCACCCTGTATATTGAGAAGTATCCTTACAGTGTCCAAAGACAATTGTTGCATATTATATTGTAAAAGTGATTGACAATATATGACAGGTGGACCTAACAGTCAATGGCCAGTCTATGTTGAGGACGTTTCTGTTTGACGTGGCTGGTCTTACACCCAACTACACACTGGAGTGTAGAGAGGCCTCATGTATTCAATACATACGCGAGAGCGTTGGCACCAACAAAGTTCTGGTAAGCGAAGTAGCTGTAACTAAACGTATGGGATCTTAGATGATAAGTGTGACGATTTCCGAACAAGAGTTCATTGAACCTGAAATGGCCAGTTTAAAAATCACTTTTAGTTTTTAGAAAATATACTTGCTTGGTGCAAATTTGATGTAAGAGCTTACCAGTTGATTCTGACCATTACAGATTTATAGACACTGTATTATGGTATTTTTGTGTAACTCATTCTCCATGGCAAGTCTCAATAACATTTTGAAATTAGTCAGAGAAGTACCTATTAATAGTGGAAGAATATTAGGAAAATCGACCTAAAAAATTCGGTCTAAGTGGAAACTTTGCACAGTTGTTTAGTAAGCCCAAATAAATAAAATATCAAAAGTCCCCATAAATTCCTGCTGTGCTTCAGCCGCCATCTTGGAAAATGGCAGCCAATTTTCACTTTTTTGACAATATTTCACAAACTATTGGTATTAGAGAATTTTTGTAAATACAAAGGTTAAAGAACGTCTAAAAATACATCTTTTTTATATTAGAAAGTTTGCTCTATCTCTAACGGTTATTGAGATAAATAATAAAAGTTATCATTAAATTTAAAATTCCCACATTATTCTTATGGAGGAAAATAAAATTGTTGCAGTTTGCTTATTTATGGATACATTTTGATGAAACTTGGCAAATATATTTATTTTATAATGAGCTATTAATATTTAACATAAATACACACTTCAGTACCCTCCCTATAGCAGTAAACCTAGTACTCGTTAAATTTAAAGTTATTTAAATAGGGAATATATATCTTACATATTTAGGATATATTTTTAGTAAAAATCCAGTCAGGCAAATGGATATTCATTTGTTAATCATATTAACAATAATTTTTTCTTATTAGTATTATGATTTAAAGCTCACTTACTATCTTGTCACTACTATGTAACTACTCAAACCTTACGGTACGTTGTTACTCCCGGTATAATTATTTTGTCAGTAAATATTAGGAAATTGAACCTTAAAATCCGGACTAAACTGAAATTTTCCACAGTTAAACGCACAGTAAGCCTAGTTGATGAAAATGGCAAAAGTCCCCACAAATTTCGGCTGTGTCTCAGCCGCATTTAGTCTAGATTTTAAGGTTGAATTTCCTAATATTCACCGACAAAATAATTATACTGGGAGTAATAAGTAGGCCTACCATGTAGGTAGTAGTGAAAAGATAGTGATTGGACTTTAAACTTTAATACTAATACGGGAAAACTATTGCTAATTACTAAAATACTTCCTAAAAATGTAAGATAGATTCCCTATTTAAATACGGCAACTTTAAATTTAACAAGTACTAGGTTTACTGTTATGGGGAGAGTAATGAAGGTGTGTATTTGAGTTAAATATCATTAGCTTAGTATGAAATAAATAAGTTTGCCAAGTATTATTTATCTCAATAACCGTTAGAGATAGAGCCTTGTAATATAAAAAAGATGTATTTTTAGACGTTCTTTAACTTTTGTATTTACAAAAATTCTCTAATACCAATAGTTTGTGAAATATTGTCAAAAAAGTTAAAATTGGCCGCCATTTTCCAAGATGGCGGCTGAAGCACAGCCGGGACTCATGGGGACTTTTGATATTTTATTTATTTAGGTTTACTAAACAACTGTGCAAAGTTTCCACTTAGTCCGAATTTGTTAGGTCGAATGGCAGTTTTATTCCTAAAATTCTTGGACTATAAGTCAGATTATATGAAACTAGGGATGGGTTGGAAACCCGAAACCGGGAATTGTAAAATAAAGAGTTGGTTTGTTTTATCAGTTACTGTGCAAATCATTTTGCCGTGATCATGGTAGTTGGTTGGGAGATTTCACTAAAAAAGCACACGGACAAAGCTTCAAAAACATCTGGATTTGTAAAAAAAAACATGGTTTGGCACGTACAATCCTTCCTTCGGTAGCGTATGTCCAGTGCCTTATTTAAAGTCAACGGTAACTTTTAAGGGAAATTCCTTCTTAGTCAGTCCGAAAAGATTACCTACAAACAATTGCTTTATATGACAGTTTGACCAGAGTTAGCCAAATACACTACTTGATAGTGTAGGTGCCCAAGAGAGATACAACCAATCTTGAACCCTGATTACGTTTCTCATCAACTTGATCATTCTTCTTAGTTCAGTTAGTAACTGAGTTCTTTTTATCATGGGTTTATGAGGTGACCTAAAGGGCTTAATGAGTTCAAAAATCTAATGGATACAACAGAGCGTTCTCATAGCGCGGTAATAGCTTATTCCCTATATGGGGAATTAACAAAAAATTTAATCAAAGTTAGATACATTCATCAATCTTCATACCAGTTTGGCTGCAATATATTTTATGGGATTGTGATGTTTCTTGCAGCTTATGATCAGCGGAGGAGTAGACTCAACAGTGTGTGCAGTGCTGCTCAAGAAAGCTCTGCCAGACACAGATATCATCGCGTTACACATAGACAATGGGTTCATGCGTAAAAACGAGAGTCAGACCGTGGAACAGCTGCTGAAGAAACAAGGCATAAATGTACAAGGTACTAACACTATCTAGATTATTATTGTTTCTAAAATGTTTTTTTTTGTCGGTACGCCATAACTTTCCTAATAGGCCACTTCATTAATTTTTATAAATGAGGTATCATTTTTAAGCTTATTTTACCCACTACATTGAAAAAAAAAACAAAAAAAACAAATCCCTCACATTTCAGTGGTTTTTAAAAATAATTGATTTACTTCCTCACTTAATTTCAACTTTAATGCTTTGGTGATTGGATCAGCTGATTTATTTAGGGCCTACTCTTAGATGAGTAATGTTTGCTTGTATGTATGCTTGTACAGTAGACACTCTAAAATCCGGCACAATCTAGTAACCGGTGTCTTTTGACTAGGGATGGACGGGATTACATTTGATTCAGGAATTTTTTGGGACGGGATTCGATCCGATTGTTGGCGATTTTGCTGCTTCGTGAGTGACGATTAGACCGCTATCGTGAGAGATTTTCACGATAGTTCTACGAATCCAGGAGGCAAAGTCATTTTGACGATCCCGCCATGACCACCGAGTCATTTTGACGATTGCACTGAGACCGGCGAATTATGCCGACCTTAATGCCGTGACCGCGAGTCATTACCACGATCGCACCATAATCGCAGAGTCGTTTCGACGATCGTGCCGTGACTGCAGAGTCATACACTGACGATCCCGACGTTAATGCAAGTAATTCGACGATCGCGCCCAGAATGCGAGTCATTTTGACGATCGTGTCTTGACCGCAGAGAAAATAGACCTGCGATAGGACCAAATCCCGTCCCGAAAAATTCCCAAATCAAATGTAATCCCGTCCTGAAAATCGGGACCTGTCCATCCCTATAAATAGCATAACTTATTGACATGACTGCAGCATTGCAGCACAATGTGTGCATTGTAATTACTGTATGTGTGATGTAGTAATCAACGCAAGCCACCAGTTCCTCCATGGTACGACGTCAGTGCCTGTAGACACCAACACCAAGGAGCCCAACAACAGGACCAGAGTCACCAAAATGCTCTGCATGACTGCCAACCCCGAGGAGAAGCGCAAGATCATTGGCGACGTCTTTGTTGAGGTTAGCTTTTTATCTGCTTGAGGAATGAGTTGTTTAATAATTTTGTAGGCCTATGAGTAGTTCAATTGATAAATTTTGTAGGCCTATGAGTATTTCAAGTGATTAATTTTGTAGGCCTATGAGTAGTTCAAGTGATTACTCCATTGCAACTATGTGGGAGTTTTGTAAAGTGAAGAGTTTTTTGTTGTAATTTATAATTTTACTAGTACCAAAACTGGGCCTAAAGTTCATTACTTTAAATTTTTGTTTTGGGTGTGTTGACAATTCTGGATGGTAGTGATGTGTCGGTTCCAAAAGACGATGGTTCCAGCGGTTCTTGGGGAAATAACTGGGACCGAGAACCGTTGGAAAATTGTTGGTTCTTAGGTCCATCGGTTCCATCATCTACTTTACGTATTTTTTAGTACCGGTACTTATTATTTAAACGTTAATTATCACCACATGATAGCTACAATACTAAAATATAAAACTCAAAAATGCTATTGTTATAAATAAGAGATAATAAATAACTAGGGGTCTGCGGGTCCCCAAATTTTTCGGGTCGGGTTGGGCCAACAAAAGGCCCAAAAGACCGGGTCGTGTCAGAGATTTGTTCGGGCTAAAAAAAGAATAGGCCTAATAATTTATTTGCCAGTGGTGTGCAAGGCAGCATTTTTTTTCTCTTCGATTCAAAGAACTTTGATTTGAATCGATGCGATTAGATTCGATGCAGCACAGCATGATTTTCTTTCAAAATTATTTACATGTGTTTCTGTAATGGACTGTTACCTTAAAAAAAAAGGTTAAAGTAAAAATATGTACCTACTAAAAAAATGATGAACAAGAGGATCTAACCTCCTGCTGATGGAAACTGCCAATTTTATGGCTGGACTAAAGAAATCCAGACTTCACTAACAATTAGAATAAGCCTATACCAAAGCAATCGTTATTATTGTTGACCTGTATTAAATCAAATTGAGTTTCCAGTTTATTTTATGATGTACGGTAACTTAATTTCCACTTTAGGTTTAAATAGAAAGAGCTTATTGCCTGAGAATAAGGGAGACAAAGGATAGGATAAGCAGGCTTACCTTTAGAAATCCAGGCATCCCACTTCACTACAGGAACACAGAAGAAAACACAAAAGAAAAAACAACAGGATATTTCGAGGCCACTGGCCCCTTTCTCATCTAATGTGACTCTCAATGTTGAGAAAAGGCCAGTGGCCATAAAATATCCAGTGTTTCTTTTGTGTTTTCTTTTCTTCTGTGTTTCTGTAGTGAAGTGGAATGCCTACATTTCTAAATGTAATCCTGCTTATCCTATCCTTTGTCTCCCCTGACTTCCAATTTTATATTGTTGGCTTTCAATACTTCCGGTTCATTCTTAGGACCAGGACGAACCAAAAAAGTTGATAATCAGTGTTTGTTGTCAATTTGATACATTATTGCTTTCAATAAATAGATGTCAAATTAAAAATAACAATTGAAATTAATAAAAAAATTCAAAAAAGATCAGTGAGTCGGCCTACCAAAAAGATAACATTTATTAATTAGAACCGTGTACAATGACATTTTCTCACTACTTATATCTTCAACATTTGTTAAACTATGAAAATAAGTCACTAAGTTTAGCTAAAAACACATTCATAAATGAGGATACGAGTATATTTGAAATACAGAATAATAAAACAACCACATTTAAAAAACTTTTATTTCTTAACTTTTTTCCTTGAACGGGTCAACATTTTTTCACTCACTATCAACAAAAATTATCACTTATCATTTCACAAAAGCCGTCGATGTGTGAGCTGTGAAGAGCAGACAAGCTGAATGCTGAGGAAGTGCTGCTGGCTCAGGGCACATTGATACCTGATCTGATAGTCAGCATCTCCCCTGGTCAGCATCACTAATCACATGCTGTTCACAGGTAGCCAATGAGGTGATCAGCCAGTTGAAGCTGAATGCTGAGGAAGTGCTGTTGGCTCAGGGCACACTGAGGCCTGATCTGATAGTCAGCTTCTCCCCTGGTCAGCATCACTAATCACATGCTGTTCACAGGTAGCCAATGAGGTGATCAGCCAGTTGAAGCTGAATGCTGAGGAAGTGCTGTTGGCTCAGGGCACACTGAGGCCTGATCTGATAGTCAGCTTCTCCCCTGGTCAGCATCACTAATCACATGCTGTTCACAGGTAGCCAATGAGGTGATCAGCCAGTTGAAGCTGAATGCTGAGGAAGTGCTGCTGGCTCAGGGCACACTGAGGCCTGATCTGATAGTCAGCTTCTCCCCTGGTCAGCATCACTAATCACATGCTGTTCACAGGTAGCCAATGAGGTGATCAGCCAGTTGAAGCTGAATGCTGAGGAAGTTCTGCTGGCTCAGGGCACACTGAGGCCTGATCTGATAGTCAGCTTCTCCCCTGGTCAGCATCACTAATCACATGCTGTTCACAGGTAGCCAATGAGGTGATCAGCCAGTTGAAGCTGAATGCTGAGGAAGTGCTGCTGGCTCAGGGCACACTGAGGCCTGATCTGATAGTCAGCATCTCCCCTGGTCAGCATCACTAATCACATGCTGTTCACAGGTAGCCAATGAGGTGATCAGCCAGTTGAAGCTGAATGCTGAGGAAGTGCTGTTGGCTCAGGGCACACTGAGGCCTGATCTGATAGAGTCAGCATCTCACCTGGTCAGCAACAAAGCTGACACCATCAAGACCCATCACAATGACAGTCAGCTGATACGTAGCCTCAGGGAAGCTGGCCAGGTCATCGAACCGCTCAAGGACTTTCACAAAGACGAGGTAAACTAAGCGTAATAAAAAGTTATATTTTAAAGGGAAGCCGAGTGGCTGATAAGAAGATTTTCTAATAAGCATGTTCAAAGTCCCAAAAAAATTTTCATTTTGGTCATTTGGGTGGGATTTTGTTAGGATGTGGGTATCTTCCATCTTGCTTGCTATTGTAGCGGAAAAATGCTGGCCTTGTCAGAAGTATGCATCCTCACAAAGAAAAAGAACCCTTAAAACCTCATGAAATTCCAACTCGACCATGGCAAAAAGTAGGAGTTGATTTTTTACAACTCCCAAGCTCTATACAAGATATGAAAATGAAATAATATACATGAATACAACTTTTTTCATATTTTACTATCAATTAATATTATAAACACAGATTTTTATAACTTAAAAAAATCCGGTAATTAATGATTTCTAGCCCGACCCGATTTTGGTCCGAGACCCGAGGGCCAAAATTATCGGCCCGGCCCGACCCTACCCGAACTAAAAAAGTCTGACCCGCAGACCCCTAGAGATTATTGACGTCGTAATATACAGTACTGTTACATTGACTAACCGTAGAGGTTATTGATGTCGGCAATATACAGTACTGTAACATTGCCTAACCATAGAGATTATTGACGTCGTAATATACAGTACTGTAACATTGACTAACCATAGAGATTATTGACGTCGTAATATACAGTACTGTGACATTGACTAACCGTAGAGGTTATTGACGTCAGCAATATACAGCACTCTAACATTGCCTAACCATAGAGATTATTGACGTCGGGAATATACAGCACTGTAACATTGCCTAACCATAGAGATTATTGACGACGTAATATACAGTACTGTGACATTGACTAACCATAGAGATTTGACGTCGTAATATACAGTAATGTGACATTGACTAACCATAGAGATTTGACGTCGTAATACTGTGACATTGACATTAGTCTTCTTGTACACAGACACAGATAGTCTTCTTGTATACAGTCATAGATAGTCTTGTACATGGATACAGACAGCGTTGTGTTAGTAAAAATCGGTCTTGTACATGGATACAGACAGCTTTTTGTTAGTAAAAAAGATCAGGGAAAATCTGAACAAAATCGAATCCATCAAAACCGGATCCAGCCCAAGATCTGGAATTTTTTGGATCCGATCGGGTGCCGGTTCTAGCTAGGATCTGGCGGATCTGGTAGTCCGATAGCCGGATCCGACCATCACTAATTATTATTATTGTTTATGTTTGTGGTTGCTATGTTGTGAATCATTCTAGTAAAAAGTCAATACATATTATTTTAATTATTTCTTAAATAGTTAACACTGTGATTTTGCCGTAAACAGTTTTAATAATCGATCATAGGTTTTTTAACCATTCAAACTAAAGTAAATCATAGCGACAATCAAATTTCACTCTAGATTATATATAGTATTTTATGAAAACTGTACTTGAATTACATTTTTACAATTTGAGTTTTTTTCTGGATTTATGATTTGAAATTCCTGGATTTTAACAATGCTAATAAAATACTATGAACAGTGATTGAGGTTTACTGTGGTGGTTAGATTATGGTTTGTTATTTTTATCTAGGCCTTTGTAGATGGTAAACCTTTTGGCAAAAATTTTGTTAATCTTCTTTTATAACAGTCATTTAGAATGTGTGTGTTATGAAGGTGCGCAAGCTAGGACGAGATCTGGGATTGCCTACAGAGATGGTAATGAGACATCCGTTCCCTGGTCCAGGCCTCGCCATCAGGGTATTGTGTGGTGAAGAACCTTACATGGAACGGGACTTTGCGGAAACACAAGTTGTTGTTAAAATCATAGCAGACTACGATCTTATGGTGCAAAAGGTAAGAACTAGGGTTGTATTGATTCTCAAAACCACTGGTTCTTGTACATAGGTATCAGTAACGAGAATCGATTGTCAAGAGTCAATGCCGTTACAGTTACCCGACATGCTTATAAAGATCGCATGATTGAAAAATCCATGCTTCCGCGATTGCGGATGACTACGATAACGTTTCTGTGACTGTGGGAGAGGATGATGATAGTTACACATCCACAGAATATGATCAGAATTTGCTGTGTTCACGGAAGACGTTGATATTGTCCACGCGACTGGGCAATTGTTCATGATTTGGGCGGGATCGTGGAAAACAATAATGTTCCTGTGACCCCAAGCAGGGGTTGGTGTAGTATCTTACCAACTATAGTATCAAATCCTACCAGTTACATTTTAGTAAATTAACAAAAATTTCAATTAGTATCTGGAATTAATAAATTTTGGCATCAATAACTCCAAATAAGAACTTCTATTTTATCCAGTTAATTCTTTTGATTGCCGGACTATAGAGTTTCAGCTTTGCTATACAGTAAAGTTTGTTACCACTACCGGTACGGAAAATTTTGCAATTAATTAGGACAGATGGTGTGGATAATAAAATTGCTCACATTATTAAACTCTAAAATGGATTAGCCTATAAAATAACCCATTGACATAAAAAAATGTTTAAGAGAACAGTAAGCTTACCTTAAAGGGAAAGAGTCTATTCTGATACAGGAAACACAAAACCCACTACGTGATGGTCAGGCAGTTATTAACCATACTTTTTTTTCAGTTCAATACTTTCAATACATTTTTAGCGAATTTCCCATATAGGGAATAAGCTATTACCGTAGTACTCATGGTAAGACCTGGACGCGGGACCGATTTTTTTTTCGTTTTGAGGTCACTAGAGGCCAAAAACACCATCCGTTCAAATTCATATATATATACACTTGAGTCCCGCTAATCCGAACACGGTTAATCCGAACGTCCGCTTAATCCAAACACGTTCCCGATATTAATTTTAATAAATTTGCACTATATAAAATACAATGGGAAAGGTAAAACATCTTGAAATAAAGTATAAACAGAGTAATCAATTAAGGAATACAATGGTTTGTTTATTACGTAAAGTTTAAATTTACAAATCGTAATAAAAAACAAATAAAACAAAGAATTATTTTGTAAGAAATATTGCACATACCGTACTGAAAAATTAACTTTGGTTAGGCCTACTTGTTATTGGACATGAAGTCCCGCATTGTCATTTGCTGCAGTTTAGTAAGTCTGTTTTTTGCCGCGTAGTTCCGCCATTTTCTCATGAACATCACATCTGCAGGCGTGGCAGTAGACTGTTGTTCTAAGTAGCGAAGGGCAAGGTCAAGCGCTGCAGCTGCCTCATTGTGTGTCACTTTCTCCTCTCCTCCCCCGCCCCCTGGCTCGTCATCACTACCCTCCCCCTCGTCTCCCTGAACATGATCTTGCGTCACTGCTGCTACGATGTCATCGTCAGTCAGAGTCTCTGCACTAGTACCGTCTGCCGCCATCCATTCATCCACGTCCTCTTCCTCCGCGTTTTCACAACCGGGAATGTTTCGAATCATTGGTAATAAGTTAACTGGGTCATTTTCGGTAGGGGTTTCTTCAAAATCTAACGATTTCCACAACTTTTTCCACGATTTTCTTATCGCCCCAGTTGTCATATTTTCCCAAGATTCAGCTGCCCAATACACAACATCCTTTACGTTCATTTGTTTAATTTTTTGAACCAAGGGAATTGTATCATCTTCAATTAGGGACTTTAAAAAGTGTTTGCGATACTTAAGCTTCAGAGCCTGCAAAACCCCCTGGTCCATTGGTTGCAATAATGGCGTCACATTTGGAGGTAAAAAGGCTGCCTTTATTTCGCCACATGTTAGTTCGTCGACATCTGGGTGGGACGGTGCATTATCTAGCAAAAGAATAGCACGTGGGGGAATGTCATTTTCTTGGCTAAACCGTTTAACAGATGGTACGAATTGGTCATGGAACCATTCTTTAAACAGTTTCCCGTCCATCCAGCCTCTCTTCTGGTTCCTGTAATACACTGGAAGTGACTTCATGTTTATATGCTTGAAGGCTCGAGGCTTAGCAGCTTTGCCTATCATCATAAGAGGAAGCTTATGGTTACCAGCAGCATTGGAACAAGCCATAATGGTTACTCGGTCCTTACACATTTTAAAACCAGGAGCACGACTTTCTGATTTAGAGGCCAAGCTTTTAGTTGGCAGTGCTCTAAAATTTAGGCCGGTTTCGTCAGCGTTATATATCTGTTGGGGGGAATAATTTCCTTCGCTTATTAAATTGTCAAATGAAGCAAGGTATTCCTGCGCTGCAGCCTGATCTGAGGAAAGTTGTTCACCGGTGACAGTTAGCTGCCGAATACCATGACGTTTTTTCCACCGGTCAAACCAACCGGTGCTGGCTGTGAAGGAACTGTCGCCATTTAACAGATTGTTCAACTGAATTGCCTTTTCTTGAACGATAGGTCCACTTAAAGGGGTTCCCCTTTCCCTTTCTTGCGAGAACCACAGAAAAAGCGCTTCGTCAACTTTATCATACTGCGACTGTCGCGCCGTTTGCCGATTTTCAAGGGTTACCTCTGAAGACGTTGTGCAATATTGTTGAAGTTTCGCACGGTTTTTTTTCCAGTCGCAAATTGTAGCTTTGCCAACGTTCAGCTCTTTCGCTAGTTTAGTCACACTTTCACCATTATCCAAACGTTTTAAAGTTTCCAGCTTATCTTTAAGAGTCAAAGTGTTATGTTTACGTTTGTTAGACATTGCACTTATCACACTAAAAACCCGTACACACGCAAATCCACAGGTGACTGACCGCACTACGTAAACAAAAGCAGACTAGATCAAGGTGTTGTTGTGTTGCGATTCTGACAATTAAGCTAGGTGTATTGGTGAGGGGAGGGGGGCAGAACGGGGCAGACGTGTAGGCTACTGTGTACAGTCTCGGTAAGCAGTGCGTGCAGACGTACAGTCCGCACGCATTATCGTCACATCATACACGTCTGCCCACCCGTTCATATCGCTCTACGCTAGTTGATTGTTGACACGCTAGATATTGCACAACTGATGCGCTTATTTAAGTTTAACTGTTGTTTTTTTAATTTTGTTGTAGTAAATGGACTATTAAAATTGGTTTTTGTGTATTGCTCGTTCATATTACGACACTACGACCCCTTAAAATTGCTTCCATCTTGATTATCTACGTTATTTCGGCTAATCCGAACAATCAGCTAATCCGAACGGGGTTCGGTCCCAATTAGTTCGGATTAGCCGGACTGCACTGTATATATATTTTTTTTATATATATGGGTTTTTTATATAATGGGTTTTTCCCATTTTTGACCCTAAAAACCTAAAATTTTAGAATTTCTTTCCCAACCATTTTGTAGAGCTTAAAAAAAGAAATAATTTAGTATATTGAAGCATTGTTGTATGTCTAACGGTCACGGAGAAAATTTAAAAAAATGCAAATTTAAAATCCCCATGTTATTCTTATGGAGAAAATGAAAACTGTTGTAGTTAACTTGTTTATGGATATATGTTGATCAAATTTGGCAAACTTATTTATTTCATCCTATACTATTGACGTTTGGTCATAAAACACTGTTTACCTTCCCCGTAGCAGCAAACCTAAGCACTCGTTATAGCCTATCTAATATTATTTGAATTGGGAATAAATATGTCTTATTTTTTATGGAAGTATTTTAGTAAATATGTAATCAGACAAGTTGAAATTCGCTTAGTCTGCAGGTTTGCTGCGGTGGGGGTATTTTATTCATATCATGATTACCAGCCCAAAACACAGTTTTGGCTATTGCCGGTAATATTGGCAATAGGTCAGTGGAAGCGTGTCGCAACTCCACTAGTAACCTGCATAACCTTGCAGTTTACTTGGGTTTTGTTGAGTGTCACAAAGTATTGGGTATATCGATTGCTACATCTTGTTCGGTTGTTTTGGTCATGGCATGGAATGTGTAGCCTATTGTTCTGCTGACAAGAGGTGTTATAATTCCGTGTGACGTGTAGGACCGTCAAGCCTAATCTATCTTTCCCTCCCCCTGCGGGTGTCCGTGGGGGTGGGCATTTTCGCTTTCCAAATCTCTTTTATGAAGACCACTTTTTTAAATACACTTTCAATTGATAGTAACTCATTACAAATAATTTTGTTCTTTAAACATAATAAATCAAGTGTTACATTCTCAACTAGGCTTGTTCATTGAATTGTCTACCCTTACTGTGAGTGGTCGTTACAACTATACACAAACTAACAGAAAACCACAATTAGCATCTAAATCCGATTAGCACCCGATCCTGAAATTATTTTTTGAAATAGTGCAAGTTGCTTTTTACTTGATTTTAAATGTTTACCCTCTAACAAAATAAATGTACCATAACCTAAAATGAACTTATTGAAATGTCATCCGTGTGTTTTGATGTTACAGAAACACGCTTTGCTGAACAGAGTAGAGAGTGCCACAAGTGAAGACGATCGAGCAGAGCTGAAGAGAGTATCAAGCAGACAACACCTGGCAGCCACACTACTGCCCATCCGCAGTGTCGGAGTGCAGGTAGTTGACAAACTCAATAAATAAGTATGAACATTCCAAGGTATTGTCTCTCCTGCCAGGAGACAACACTGTACATTGAGGGATCAAATATTGTCACACAACTCCTGTTTGTGGCAGAGCTTAGTAGGGGACGCCTACCTAAAATGAATGGTGGACATCTCTGGTGGGAGTTGATGGGATAGGGTGAATTATTTGTTGGTCGAACTTAAAATTACGCATTTTGTAACATTTTGTCCATCCTGTGTGTTTTTGTATCTAAAACTTGTTTTAAAATAAGACATCAAGGAAAACAAATATAAAAAAATAAGAATTTATGTTCATTAACCCTCCGAGTGTTATTTGTCGCTGCAGCGACACATAACACACTTTGTGTAGTGTTTTGTGTCGCTGCAGCGACTCAGAAACACTGTTTCGGCGAAGGCTCTATGACTGACAAAATCGGATTGAACTGGATCGAGTTAGGTATCGTTTTATTTGACAGATTCAGAGCTTTCTCCCAAGGTCTGTCTCTAAGCGCTATTCATTTTAGTTCCGAAAATATTGTAGCAGACAGCTGATGTGCGTATTTGTAAACAGCTTGGTTAAGATCGGACCGATGACTGATGTGTTTTATTACGTTTATCATTGTTTTAGTGTTAAAAATCAAAAGTAGTGATATACGTGGTGCATTATAAGAAGATTTAAGTGATTTTGAAGGGCTGGTTGATGATCCTGAAGAAGTAGGTAGTGATATTGATGTAAATTATCAGCCAGATTCCTAGCTATGGTTAGGCTATGCATTCTTAGCTAAACGCTATGTACTGAAATCTGTTTTTTGCCCATAACTTATTTATTTGCAAATATACATCCTGATATTATTATATATTTGTATTCCTCATAAAATTTAGAACAAAGTGGCTATTTTCAAATATTTATAGGCCTATAATTTATACAATTTCATTGAGCGCAAACTTATTATTTTTTTTTTGAAAATTTTCCAAAATATTTTTTTTACCTAAAAATTTTTTTTTAAACAAATGTTCCTTATGTTCTATGTATAATATTGAAGCCCATGATTTTCCAAACAAAATGGTATATAGAACACTATAATTAACATTGTTTTCAAGCTTCTCAGATCCGTTTTAATAAAACCTTGCAAATGAGCAAAAAATAGGCAGACATTAAGGCCAAAACAAGGGACACTCAGAGGGTTAGAGGCCTGTGCGTCAGACTTTTTTAATTGGGGTCGGGTATGCTACGGTCTGTTTGTACCTTTTAATAAAATCAATTAAATCTCCTTTAATTAGTCATATTACAATAAACTAAGTCATTTTAGATTTTGTAATTTGTATAAAATAAACTGAACCAATGGACTTGCATTGTGCAGGGTGACAGGAGAAGTTATAGCTATGTGGTTGGACTGTCCTGTGATAAGAAGGAGCCCAACTGGGAGGATCTGTTGTTCCTGGCACGACTCATACCTCGGGTCTGCCACAATGTCAACAGGGTCTGCTACATCTGGGGCGACCTGGTCAGGGATCAGATCACCGACATCACGCCCACCTACCTCACCTCGCTGGTGCTCAGTACTGCGCGGCAGGTTGACCACGCCGCCACACAGGTTTTGTTGGCAATTACATTTCATTACTACCCCTGTAGCAACAACCTAAGTACTCATTGAAATTAATATTTTTTGAATAGGAAATAAATCTGACAATTGTAAGGGAATATTTTAGTGGAAATCTAGCAAGGTGCAGCGGGGTATATTTTATTATTAGAAATTGTTAAATTAGAATATGATGCAAACACACCAGGTTGTGCGAGGGTTGGCGAGTACTCAACTTTTGAGTAATTCCTTAACCTCTGCCAAATACTCCATCTCAAGTTGAGTAGTAACTACTACTCAAATATTTGAGTCGAGTTGTTATAAAAACATTGCATAGCCTATCCATTCAAGTTATTACTGAGAAATTGCCTATCCATACAAGTTACTACTGAGACATTGCATATCCATACATGTTATTACTGAGACATTGTTATCTATACCAGTTATTACTGAGATATTGCCTATCCATACAAGATATTACTGCGACATTGTTATCTATACAAGTTATTACTGAGATATTGCCTATCCATACAAGTTACTACTGAGACATTGCATATCCATACATGTTATTACTGAGACATTGTTATCTATACCAGTTATTACTGAGATATTGCCTATCCATACAAGTTATTACTGCGACATTGTTATCTATACAAGTTATTACTGAGATATTGCCTATCCATACAAGTTACTACTGAGACATTGCATATCCATACATGTTATTACTGAGACATTGTTATCTATACCAGTTATTACTGAGATATTGCCTATCCATACAAGATATTACTGCAACACTGTCCATACAAGTTATTACTGAGACATTGCCTATCCATACAAGTTATTACTGCGACATTGTTATCTATACAAGTTATTACTGAGATATTGCCTATCCATACAAGTTATTACTGCGACACTGTCCATATAAGTTATTACTGAGACATTGCCTATCCATACAAGTTATAACATATGCCCTAACTTTGTTACTTTATGAAATATTTAACTGTCCTGGGACATTTTTCCTCTCTTTATACTAAGTTGATAAGTAAGCTACTTATGGATCCTTGTTGTATTTCTTTGTGGTGATTCACAGGTCCTGGTGGCCACAAACACACAACACCTGGTGAGCCAGATGCCTGTCGTGTTGATCCCTATCCACTTCGATCGAGACGCTGTGACAAGAGGTCCTTCATGTCAGAGGTCTGTGGTGCTCAGGCCGTTCAAGACCCAGGACTTCATGACTGGCTCACCTGCTCTCCCCGGAAAGGATCTGCCCGTTGAAGTAAGTAACACAGTACAAGTTCACTGTTCGGTCAACATTTATTTTTATTTTGTTTTCAGTCTAACCTTCTTTGTCTATTCTTGGCAAAATATCTCAACCATATTGCCCGTTCGGATATGATTTTTTTTGTGACGTTCGTAAATATGTTACTTTCGGTGACTTCCGTGACCCTTCACTAAAATCCTGGACTTTTTGGGGACTTCCGTGACTGGACACCATATATATAATACACACACAACATATAATAACACAACAGTATATACAGGGTGTTTTTTTAAAAACTTGCATCTTTATTTATGTAAAAACCGCAATAGATAGAAATATGCAGTTTGCGGGAATCATCTATTGACGTAGGGGGACCAATTGTTTTGAATTCAACGTTACATTCACATTCCCCCCCTTTCCCCCCCTGCCCCCAACTTAATTTTTTTAAATAGCAAGGTACCCCTTGTGACATATCAAATAAAAGAGCATGAAAAAAGAAAATTTTTGATGAAAAAAAATTGAAAATCGGTTCATAAATTTGTAAGATATTTCCCCCCTCACCCCCCTGGAACTTAATTTTTTTTTATAGCAAAGTACCCCTTGTGACATATCAAATGAAAGAGCATGAAAAAAGAAAAATTTTGGCGAAATTAATTTTTCATTTGATATGTCACAAGGGCGGGTACCTTGCTATTAAAAAACAAGTTATGGATAGGGGAAAAGGGAGGTGATTATCTCACAAATTCATGAGCCGATTTTAATTTTTTTTTCACCAAAAATTTTCTTTTTTCATGCTCTTTCATTTGATATGTCACAAGGGGTACTTTGCTATTAAAAAAAATTAAGTTCCGGGGGGGGTGAGGGGGGAAATATCTCACAAATTTATGAACCGATTTTCAATTTTTTTTCATCAAAAATTTTCTTTTTTCATGCTCTTTTATTTGATATGTCACAAGGGGTACCTTGCTATTTAAAAAAATTAGGTTGGGGGCAGGGGGGGGAAAGGGGGGGAATGTGAATGTAACGTTGAATTCAAAACAATTGGTCCCCCTACGTCAATAGATGATTCCCGCAAACTGCATATTTCTATCTATTGCGGTTTTTACATAAATAAAGATTCAAGTTTTTAAAAAAACACCCTGTATAATACATGTCTACTTTGAGTGACTTTGAACTTTTTTTAAATGCCTGAGCCAAGCTGAATAATGAAAAGCTCAACCAAAAAGCTCGAAGGTTCGAGCACTCGCACACCCCTAATTCTACATATAATCTTCTCTGAGCTCTCCCCAATTTGGAAAATTTCCCCAAATATTATTACTGCTTTTCTGTTGTCTCGGATTGCATCTGCTAATTTGTACTTATGTCAGCTAGATGAATGTAACCGTCAACTGTTGTAATTTCAACAAGATGTTCTCAAAAGTGTGTGCAAGGCATATCAAGAGTGTTGATATGACTGATTTCTAAACCCCTCAGTACTACTGACGTTTGATGTTAACTGTCTACTGTTGTTATAGGTTGTCAACAAGATGTTCTCAGAAGTGTCTAGTGTGCAAGGCATATCAAGAGTGTTGATATGACTGATTTCTAAACCCCTCAGTACTACTGACGTTTGATGTTAACTGTCTACTGTTGTTATAGGTTGTCAACAAGATGTTCTCAGAAGTGTCTAGTGTGCAAGGCATATCAAGAGTGTTGTATGACCTGACGTCTAAACCCCCCGGTACCACAGAGTGGGAATGATGTCCGTATACACACGATGACGTGTGAACCTGTGTGCTAGCATTCCAGAGACTGACTGTACACAATAACTCAACAGTAGACCTCCGTGGTACAAACTTATTTTGTATATTTAAAAAAAATTATATTGCATATTTCTTTTGATTCGGTTGTTTTAGAAAGATTGTCTTTTTCACGCTAATTTATTTTTTAATTTTAAAAATATTTTAACATATGATGCTTGCAGTTATTTTATTGTTTTATTACCAAATGAGATTTTTTGTTTGAAGCCTATCAGAAATATAGTGTAGAGAGGGTAAGGAGGAAATGTTTTCGGACTTTATATATGTATTTTTTTATACTGTCACTAACAGTTATTAAACATGAGCTGTCGTGTATTTTAAGGACAACTCATGTGTCATGAGATGGTTCTGTTTTGAAAACATTACTGTTTTAAATGTAAATTATGAATAATATAAATAGTTATTAGAAACACCATGTTGTTTTTCTTTGTGATTGTCTTTTCCTGTGACTCCAGAGAGTTATTTTTAAAATTAGAAATTGTGTACCTTATAAATATAAGTAATGAATATATTTATAACTACTTATTTCTAAACTGCATGATAATTTTATTATAAGAATAATGTACTTATTGATTAAAGTTTTGATCATTTTCACAGTTACTTTTATTAGTTACTGTACCCATAAATCTTGTATATTAAAACATGAGAGGGTTTGAGGTTTTTTTTTATTTAAAGACTAGCAGAGTGCCCTTCGTACGGGTTTGGCATATAAGTATAAAATGCTTATTGCAGTTATACTCAAGTTAAGCGTTTGCAATGGGGGAGGACCAGTTTGATAAAATTTATTATTATTATTATTTTTTTAGGGCGACGGCAATTGAGCCGCGTTCAATCTTGGTGACGCAAACCATAGTCAGGCCCCACCTCCCAGTCAAGTGTCTCGACTCATCGCAGCTACCCAGTCACCCTCTCTAGTGGCGTAGCAGTACACGTAGCCATATGAGAGCGTTCACACAAGCGGTCGGTCGCCACGCTGCAGCTCGCATACTTCCCTTCGCTCTCATTGTGCGCCAGTGATGAATCCCAGTGTCTTTGATATCGATATTTTCATCTAGTCTGGACTTGTCGCTCGTGTGAACCGGTGTTGATTGATTGATTCTGTAGGGGCGGACCTTGTCCTGTTGCACGTCAGCCACTGATGGGCTTTTTGAGAGTCCGTCAAACCTGAGTTGCTTAATGAACTCCAGCATCCTGTCTATGAGCTCCTCCTGAGGAAGGTGTCTGCCCCTTGTCATTGCACCAAGAGTACTGTCCCTTACCTTATTCAGAGCTGTGAAGTCGTAGAGTAGGTGATCAGCAGTCTCCTCTGATTGCCCACATTTCCTACACACAGTGTAACCATTGTGCATCCTCAAGCGATGCAGCTGCAATTTCAGGAAGCCATGTCCAGTGACCATTCCTGTGATCTGTCTGAGTTGCCTCCTGTCTGAACGTAGAGCATTGGAGGCGACCGTCTGGGAAGGGGAGAAGAGGATGAGCTTACTTACCCTATGGTGCTGAAGCCTAACCCATCTTTTCCTGTGTTCCTCCTGAGCCCATGACATGACTGAGTGACATGCATGCCCACGAGAGATTCCACAGAACCGGTGTATCGCCGGGTCGCGAAAAATGCTAGTCAATGCAAGTCAGCTAGATAAGTCGCTCGTGTGAACTGTGCCTTAGTCACTAACAAAGCTACACAAGGCATTTTACTTCAAGCTAAAGCACGGGTCACACTAGGCTGGCATCAGCGGCGAATTGAAAGAAGCCGCTACTGTCAGCTTAATGTGACCACAAAATTCAAAAACAACGGCGACTAGAGGTCACGTGACCACTCGCACTCGCTGACGCCAGCGAGCAGCGTAGTCTGACCACCTCTGGAAGCGTGCCAGCGGCGACCAAAGATAATTTCCAGCTTGGTTTAACACAAAAGGACAAAAGCAACTGTCTAAATTTTTTAATAATTAGAGGTTTAACTAATTCTAGTAATTCCTGGAATGTATGTAGTGATATTCGTAAAACATTTTTGTATGTTTCTGCTTAATCTTTTAGCGCGTTTAAAAACGTGGTATTTTTTTTAAGTATTTTTATTTAAAAATTATTTGTATCCAATGCCTGATGCCTAATGGTCCACTAACGTCTCTTTTTGCAGTTAGGCATCTTTTAACAAAATTATTTCTTTTTCACACACATCCTCAATATTAAGTGCTGGTTTATGAGCACCCAAAAAGGACGAAATGGCGGCAAGAACTGAGCTTTAAACTAGGCGATTAAAATTAGTATTTGTAGCATAAGTAAGAACATAAAACTAAGCAGCTTACAGTAATTTGTTGCAAAACCTCACAGCTGTTACTTCTCACACATCGTTAATATCACGATCACCAGCGGCTGAAGAGCAGCGTAGTGTGACCCGTGCTTTAACTATTAATCCTTCATTGATATTTGGATTTAAATACAATCAGGTCTATCCCCATCAATTGGTAATAGTAATGATTCCTTCATCTCTAACCTTTTCATTGATCAATTAGGTCAAATCACAAACAATTAGGTCAATTAGGTTAAATCAATTAGGTTTACATTTAAAAAAATAAGAACATTAACTGTAAACGTTTAATAAAATATTATACAACTATTATTACTTCTCTTTAAAAAAATACCACAAAACATTTAGTTGCTTCTCCTATCATAGTGGTCTAAATGTGTTTGGAACCCTGAGTCTGAGGCCGTATTCCGCAACCATGGCCAGTTGTAGTTCATTGATCATATTGTGGTATATGTCCTGCCACAGCTGACTGTTGCGCTTCTCAATACACCTGCATCAAATGTTATTTAAATCAAGGCTATTCAGCACAAATTTTATAAAACATTTCACAAATGACCTTCAATACAATTAGCTTAAATGTCATTGCTTCAATTGAGATAAAGATTCTGGAGAATCTAATACACACTCTACAAGATTAAGGCCACATTACACATTATTTTTTTTAAAGAATAAAACAAAAAAGTTTTTTAAACAATTTTATTTATTCTGCTTATAAGGGTGCATCTTTTAGTGTGAGGTTATGTTCAAACAACGAAAAAACATGAGCATTTCTTTTTTCTATCATGATGAAAGGCACTGCCACTCCACTACCACACAACATAAACTCAAATCCAAAGACAAAAAATAGTTATTTGTGCAACTAGTGAGAAAAGTGAGCAATTGACTCACTCGAGAGAAATCCTTACTCACGAGCCGTATGCGAGTGAGGAATGGTTTCTCGAGTGAGGCAATTGTACTTTGAACTCGAGTTGCACATTATACTTTTCCTACAGTTACCATAAAACAAATAAATTGGTGAAGAAACATAACCTATTTTATTTTTACACAGAAGTGAGCTTTTAATATAACATTTAATGTGAAATGACAAATACAACAGTACAACAGCTGACCAGCTGATTTACAGCCAGTGATGCCAAAGTATTTCGCGCGCATACGACGTTGCCTGCATGTTACGCGCTCACTATTTCGTGCCTTCACGTTGCAAATTTGGAGTGAGACAAAGTAATTAGAGTGAGACAATGTTAACATTGTCTCACTGATAAGCGAATTGGCCACTTTGCTTTCTCAAATCAGTGAGAGAACATGTACATTGTTAGGTAACTGTAGGAAAACATTATTCCAATCAGCAATCTGGTTAGAATGCCGTTGGTTATAAGAGTTTCGAACCTACTTCAATGATTTAAAGTAAAAATTCAAGATTTAAATTTTACGAGAAATAACCGTTTTTAATTTAAATTCAGCTTGTACAGGATTTGCAACAAACATGTAGGGTAGGTGTATTCTGATTGGTCAGAATGTTCTAGAACATTCAAGTTGTAAGCCAATCAGGAGATGCCTACTGACTACCTATTTAAAGGCACTTCTTGCTCAAACCGTCCTTGTTTCTTTTTTACTATCATGCAGTTTAGTAGTTTTGAGAGTTACTGTAAGATGTTGAATTTTCAATAAAGTTTTTTTCATCCCTCTTTTAAGGGTAAGTTTTTAGATAAGTAAGAATTAAATAGAATTTTGCAAATCCTATAACTAAATTTATGTAGTATAATTTCTCCTTTTATTAAAACTTTGAACCTTTTTACAAGATGAACAAAATGATAAATTTAATTAATGCCTTATTTTTATTTTAGGGGCTCATGATTTGGATTTCAAACTCAAATATTACTAAATTTATAATGTACCATAAAATTAATACAAACTGAAGAATGAAATGTAAAGGTGAAGAGATAAGCAATAGTAAAGAAAAATATTTTAACTATTAAATATAACTGTAGATTAGTTACACGTTAAATATGAAACCATCAACAATTGTATGGCAGAGGGCAATGACCAGTAGTAAATTAAAAATCCACGACAATAATACTGTTTGAGACATCAGATCAAAATTTACTAAACATCATAAAACTATCATTACCCTGATAAAATGAGTTTTGGAATTCAAAAAATTATCCTAGTAAAAAATAATGGAAGTAAAGGTATAAAAGAGATTAACAATCTAAGTAATAAAACTTTTATGAGCTTTGACTCCCCTTGGAAGTACTTGCTCTTGCTGACCTCCACAAAATGATTATTGTCATGATAAAATAATAATGGGTTTGGGACTGAAAATGTTTTTTTTTCTTCATTATCATAGTAATAAATCATTATGAAAGTCGGAAACAAACATCTGATAAACCTTTTATCTTTCACTATTAATACAATTCTGTATCCAATAGTCAATGCCTTTATGTTCTCCTAACCAATAACTACACTCCCAGCAAAATGATTACACAATAGACTTATGTCAATTCTCGGGAAACCGGACAACCGACCCATCCCTAGTTTTATCACTTAGCATACCTGTGTAAACAGCTGACACTGACATCAAGGTGGTCCAGCTGATGGGAGGTGATAAGACCCTTGAGATACTTTGACAGCATATCTACATCACAAGGTTGGGGTGTGTCTTCTGCTGTGGTCCACGCAGTGATCACTGATCTTACCTCTTTTGGAGACAACTTCTGGTCTAGCTTCACCTCATCTGTGTGATCTACAACCATGGACTTTTCAGAAATATCAAGTTACACAATGTGCTACAGTAAAAAGTGAATTGTTCTTGGTATTTTTCTTGGTGATGGTAAAAAGTGAAGGCACAGCTGACCGGCGTGGCCCAAACTGGACCCGGCTCGGTCTCTGCTCCGATAAAGTCCCGGCCAAAAAAGCCCAGGACGGAGGCAATCCTGGTCAAACCCTCAGGGGGGAGATCTTTCGCCGAGGACTTAGGTGAACACCCAATACCTACTTGTGTATCTTTTAGGTGGAGGATAAACAAGACGCTGGCATGTTAACTCAAATGGAAAGTGGGCAAAGGGTCTTATGATCTTTGAAGGAAAGAGCGCGGAGAGAGGCTGATTTTGACCTTCGGAGCAATCTGGCACCAAATGGCGGTCGAGGGATTAGGACCCTTGTAAATTTCTTCAACCATCAAGGCAATCGGGCGTCAGCCCACCACAGATTTTTCAGAGCTTTAGTAATTTTTTTTTTAAACTATCTCATTTTAACCCTTGCCTTGGACTTTAGGTGGATATACCCGCTTACAGATGTAAAAAATATATTTCTTTGGTTTTTTTATATTTATTTTGCTGTCTGTAGGCTATACATAGTATAGGTCGTCCCGGAAGGGTTAACATAACTAATCATCTAAAATATTAACACAATCTATAAAAGTGTTAAGTAAATTTCCCTATCTTCGCATTATTTTATAAAATTTCCTCTGACTTTTGGTTTCTTCAACTTTTCCTTACCTGTTTCCCTGACTTTCCCCAATTTTGCCAGGTCCTTGGAAACCCTGCACTATGTATGAGTAGGCCTAAATGTGACAGAAAAGATGAAGTGGTTTTCAATAAATTGTCACTTTATATAAGCTTTCAAACTGAATAATTCTTGAATTTACATTTAATAATAACATTAATGGTTTTGATGCAAATTATAAGCCACAATACAATACACACCTTCAGAGAAAGGTAAGTATTTATCTTTATGAGGGTCAGGTGTCTTTTTAGACTTCTTCGGTATTGCATATTCAATTTCTCTTTTTATTTCCTTTGGTAACTCAGCGAGAACATCGAGGTCAATCTGAGAAAAAAAATCAACCATATGAGTTGGAAAACAATAAGATAAGGCAATGAGACATGGTTTGAATGCATGGTAAACAACTAACATTAGTACTAGAGATATGTAGATTCTCAATATCACAGATACTTGGACTTTGATATTCCTATTGACAATCGATCGTTAAAAGTCGATTCCGATAACCGACCTGTCACGTCTGCGCGATCGGAAAATTACCACTTGCCGTGATTGTGCAAGAAGACGAGGTTGTTACGGTGACCGAGGCAAACGATGATGAGGTCTACTACATGACCACGGTAGATTTTTATGATTTTAACACGATCACCCAAGACGACGATGACGTTTCCGTGACCGCGAAACGATGATCGATGATTTCTACAAGACTGCAGGAAATTATCAGAATTTTCCAGCAACTGCGGGACAATGATAATGTCCAAACCACCCTGCATTGATTCAAATTTTGCCGTAATCGCAGAAGCCGTGGATAATATTTTCATGACCGTGCGAGATATTCGTGATTTTGCCGTGTTCTTGGGAGGCGTAGATGGTGTTTCTGTTACCGGTGAGCGATAATCAAGTTTTTGGCGAAAGACAGTGATTATGTTTCTGTTTCTGATATTCAAAATTTGCAATGATCTCAGAAGACGACAAAAATGTCTCCACGACCGCAGGAGATGATCATGATATTACCTCCAGTTTTGCTTGAATTTTTCATTGCTGCATACAGTTTTTCCTAACTTGAAAAACACCCCATTACCTTAAAATATACTTTATGGTAGAGCATAAAGACAAGGGATGGTATAGTATTAAAAATCAATCCATTACAAATATTTTGTAAAACCATAAAAAATGTTTATCGGTTTCGAGAATTGAGAATTGATTTTTCAGGTGTCTGTATAGAGAATTGATCAATTTTGGTATTGAGACGTCAGACGTCACTAATAATTAATTAGTACCCTCTACAGTGTAAAATTATGATATGCGAGTAAAAATATGTTATTTTCTACCTATTGAAATCCTACCTGTGAATAATTAGGCCCTAAATCAAATCTTCCACTGATAAATTCAAATTCATCTTCACTTACAGTTTTGACAACTGTTTTTGTTTCTTCAGTTCTTGATTTAGAATCTATCTCTTCGTAATGTGAATCATTAACTGATAATCCGTACTCCATCATAACTTCTTTACGAATTTCTTCTGGCAAAGCTTCCAAAACTTCCTTTTCAACATCCATAGGCCTTACTCTTTCAGAAGTCTTTGGTTTATCTTTATCCTGATTTGTTGCATGTTTCTTCACAGTAAAGAACTTGTCTATTGCCAACGAACTAGATGCCTCTTGAGAGTTAGAAGTTTTGATCGCTTGATTTCGCACAAGTGTAATAGTTTCTTTTGTTTGGTTGATTTCGCTCTTTGGACGTAAGAATTTAACTATAGCATTTCCACTTGGTTTAGATAGCTTAGTACTTTCTAGCTTTGACAACTGGATTCCGATTCCTCTCAGTTCTATTGGGTCTGCTTTGAGTTGGTGAGATAGTGCTAAAACTTCTCTGAAAAAACATATATAATATATATTTAGGTGGGATAACAGCTCAAGTAACAACACAAATTTACTCTCTATTCATTTGTCAAAGTCAAATTTCCATTTAATCATAATATTACTCGTATATACAGTTATAAACAGGAAAACAGGTCAACAGGTGTTAAGTAATTCTATAATTTAACTAAAACCAAAACCATAAACAAAAGAATTAAATATAGACTGTCAGCCAGGCTGTGGTTACCATATTTACCATAGGGTCAGGCGCTCCCAGTGGTAACCTATGGTAACCGCAGCACAGCTGACAGTATATACGAGGGCTATCCAGAAAGTAGATTACGTTTTTGTCTGTATCCCCTAGGAGCGGGGCTAGCGCGACCAACTTGGTGTTAGTTCGTTATGCTGCTCAGTTGGCATCTAGCCGTTCTAGTAAGAGGTTTCTGCTGTACTCCGTTTGGTTACTGTGATAGTTTAAAATGTCTGTGTTAATTGAAAATGCCGCGAACTGTGAAGTGCGTGAAGTTATAAGGTTTTTGACGGCAAAAAACTGTAAACCGATAGAAATCTATCGGCATCTTTGTGAAAACATTATTTATTACTGAAGGTGGAGTTCGTCAGTGGGTCATCAAATTAAAAAATGGCCGAACTAACGTTCACAACGAAGAGCGAAGTGGAAGACCCAGCATTGTGACTGCCGAACTTGTCGAAAAAGTTGATGCCGATGTCCGTAAAACTAGAAAGTTCATAATAACAGAACTCCTATGGGTTTTCCACAAATTTTGCGAAGTTTGTTGCACGAGATCATGACCAAAAAGCTTGGTTACCAAACTGTAACCAAAGAGTCCATTAATTTTTTTTTTGCACGCACTTCACAGTTTGCGGCATTTTTAATTAACACAGACATTTTAAACTGTCACAGTAACTCAACGGAGTACAGCAGGAACCTCTTACTAGCACGGCTAGATGCCGACTGAGCTGCATAACGAACTAACACCAAGATGGTCGCGCTAGCCCCGCCCCTAGCGGATACAGACAAAAACGTAATCTACTTTCTGGATAGCCCTCGTATTTAGTTCTTTTTGTCTATGCTAAAACTAACTAACTCTCCTTTGTTATGGGTTAGGCCCAGTGAATATTGCATGGTTAAAAGACAGAGCTTTGATTTTGTTTCAATCTTATTTCAATTTCATCTAGTTATTATTTCCTTTTTCAGTGTTTTTAAAGACATTTGATGTTGTTTAAGGAACAAAAGTATGTGATAGGTCAGTATGATTCGGTTTTACCTGGTATTTCCGGTGCGAGTTACTGAGATGTAAGAATTGCACCCAGTTGTGTTCTCATTCTAATTGGCAATGATTTGAACCCAAGACTTTGGAAACTGAAGTTCTTTGTTCTACCACTTGACTAGCTTTGTTCCCTAATAGATCTTATGCATAAGTACTGAGGCACAACAGGATTGACAGCAATCGTGGTATCACAGAGTGTGTCATGATGTGTAAAACACTCTCATGTTATTTAACTTTCCAAACAAAATAATATTGTATTTTAAGGCAGAATACTAAAAGAAAACAACTCTGAATGGATTTATTTTGGTTGAAGGTGGAAGAGCCAATGACTTCTCCCGAATAAAAAAAAAATAAAGATGTATATCAAGACCAAAAACTGTTTAGGTAAGGTCGATAGCCAAGGAGATAAGGTAGGTAAGCAAGTTATTTGATTATTGAGATACCTGGTGATGACATCCAAATCATCGGTGGCCGTAAGAAGAGCTGAGGAGCGAGACACGTGATCACAAACACCATGACCGAGAAACTTGGCAGTCTCTACTGGAGCATCAGCTGCTCTGGTCTGTGTTGAACAAACAAACAGTGTAAATCCATCCATATACGGTAGAAATCCAACTATCCAAACTCCAATCACCCTGATTGCTAATCATCCGGATTACTTCAAACAGAAAAAATAAATGAATTGGACCAGACAAGCTTAATTTATGACAGATTTTAAAAACAGCACGTATTGTGGTACCCTACTGTTATACCACACCAGGTTAGGTAGGTTTTAAGTAACCAAATATTTTAAATTTAAATAAATGTATTTTTTAAATTTACAAATAACCTAGCCTGGTGGGCAAAGTCCTAGTGTGTCAGTTTAACAGAAAACCGTATTGAATGTGTGCCAATTGTGTCCATCTTCCAATTAAACTATTTTTGTGTTGTTTTATTTTAACACCTACACTATTACATTGGAATACACGAATACACAAGTAGTATAATAGTGGAACACCAGGCGGGATTCGTAAAAGGGAGATCTATAATGGATCAAATCCACATACAGAAACAAGTTATTAGTAGGCACTGGGAATACAATAAAGAAGTACATGGGCTTTTTATTGATTTTTCAAAGGCCTATGATAGCCTTCATAGAGGAAGAGTATTTCAACAGATGGAAATGTTTGGGATCCCCAGAAAACTAACGATACCCCCGTCGAACAAACTATTCATTTAAAGCACTATTAGAGCTATGGAATTGTACAATAACTAAGAATATTTACAGTTTTGTTCTTTTCATTATTAATCCTAAAAGATTAACAATCCGGGTAGTATTTAATTTTTTTTAGACATAATTAGTTTTAATCGAGTCCTGGACGTGTACATTTACAACAGCAAACACTTTGAATACCATTTAATAAAACATTAAAAAACACTATAATTTTGCGTTGTATTTGCTGATAGTTACTTCATCAATTCAATTCACAGTCAAGCGTCTATTCTATTCTATTAAATCCATCTAATACCTGCTCTGGGGTTAAGGCCCTTCTTGGAACTACCTAATCTTATTCATAGTTTTTGCCCAGCTTGCTGTGTCACACACCCCTATCTTCCCTTCCCTACTTTCCTCTTACCCACAAAACCTGTTAAATTAATCTATACTATAGGGAATCTTTTGGACTCGCGTGAAGTTGGCCCCACCATAAAGAGCACAAATTTTTAAAAACATATACATAATTTAGTGTTGAATTTGTCCTTCTCAAAGGTATATATAAAAAATTTGTGCTCAACAATAACACACCAAAAAAGCTATAAAAAGTGTTGGCGGGGCTAACTTCACGTTCAGCCGGCCACCAGAGGATTTAACAATGTTTTATACATAGAAATTTGGTGCTATTTTTGTGCTACAACAATATATAGTTTGTATAATTAGTGCTCTTAAAACAACCGATTGAGTGAGGAAAAACTTCCGACAGTGATGACGTCATCCGCAACTCCTCACATTTTTGCTCGAAACTTACTTGTTTAGGGGCTACATGATGTTAAATGTACAACGGAAGTCTCTTTTTCATAAGCTGTAACTCCTAAACGAGTGGGTTTACCGAAAAAGTGTCAAGAACAAAATAGTTTTTAAATTGCATTTTCTACCCAAAAACGTGATAAAATATAGGGTGTTCCATAAGAAATTTCTAAGTTGGCCGCTATGTTGGAAAATTGCAGCCATTTACAAACATCTCATTTACTTATTTTTCAACATCTTTAAAAACAAGAGAATGTTCCCCATTTTATGTTTCCTGTAAGATGTATCGTTTACAAGATCCTAATGGTGGCACCGTTAAATAAAACACCCTGTACACTGTATGAATTTAATCTAAAAGTGACTATTTTCAACCAATTTACTCAATGTGGCACGGTGAATGACGTCATCACCGGTGGCAGTTTTTCCTCATTTACTCGGTTGTTTTTAGAGCACAAATTATAAAAACTATATATTGTTGTAGCACAAAATGAGCACTAAATTTCTATGTAATACATTTTTAAACCCTTTGGTGGCGGGCTGAATGTGAAGTTACCCCCGCCAACAATTTTTATAACTTGTTGGTGTGTTATTGTTGAGCACACATTTTTTTTATACATACCTTTGAGAAGCACAAATTCAGCACTAAATTATGGATATGTTTTTATAATTTGTGCTCATTATGGTGGGGACAACTTCACGGGAGTATCTTTTGAGGGGACAACAGACTCAGAGCTACCCATGTCTCCTATTGTTTGTTGCGGAGGGTAGGTTTCTCATAATCACCCCATTCCGAGTGTCCTACACTCCTGGTTTGGTTTAGAGATAAGACTACTGCAATAAATCTGGATGAAACTGCACTTACCATCAATTTCAAGGTAATTAATTTCGTTTTCATGTTCACTTCCAACAATCGATTATGAACTTCTTTTGATAATTCCCTTAAGAATTGATCAGCTTCTTTAGCTTCTTGAAATCGTATTCCATAATTTACTTCAGCTGATACTGATTTCCTAATCTGGTCAAACACTAATTTTCTATGGTCTTCACCTCGACAATGCCTAAAAAATTATACATTATGTTCTTTTTGCCTCATTAATCCATCTAATGGATACCTTTAGGAATTACAAGGACGAATTATCACCTGTCCTAAAAACATTGACCCTGGTAACGAATATGTGCATTCAAATGCAAGAATAAAAATCATATTAATGTTAATTTATTAATTGTTATTATTTTTACTAGTCTTGAAAATGGGTGGACTCTGTCCCAGCCACCACTGGTTACACAACTGAATTTATACTTGCAATCTAATACAGTAGAACTCCAAATATCCAAATCAATTGAGACTTTATGGGACCAAATGGGGGATTAGGGAGTGGGAGAACCTTTCGCGCCGTTACAGCCAAACCTCGCATGAGGGGTTGGTTTGGCAGATTGGCCACACCTAAACTCTATGTCTTTGATATCTTTGACATGCTGAATTATTTGTTTTTTTAAGCTCTTAGTATGGGGAAAAATTGATAAATTTTGTGTTTTAAGGGTAAAAAATGAGAAACACCCATTTTTACCCCATAAAACCCCCCGTTTAACCCCGTTCCCATGGTCCAATCATGCTGGTTCACGAACTCATAAAAGTTTATCCTGCCTTACACATTCAAACCAAACTTTATCAAAATTGGACAAAAATTACCCAAGTTAAATTACAATCTGTTTATGACAATATTCTTTTTCCTAAAGAAATTTCAATGAAGATGTTGATTGATTGATAGAACTATGGTTTTAAGTTTATTAAAATATTTTCTGTAGGCGATTCAGATGGGAGTTTTACTGTAGGCTACTGCTATTCTAAACAAAATTAAATTAGATAAATCACACAGATTTATTGTTGTCATACTTATAAAGTGATTCCCCGGATTTAACTCCAAATTCAGCCTGTAGCCTAGTGAGGGGAATTTGTTGAAGATCTGAACATTTTTTTATCCCCATTGAAGAGAGTTTGTAACTGGTAGACCGACCAACACCTGGAACATTGAGGTGGCAAGATAAAAAAATGCATTTTGCACAGGCAAACATTAACCTATTCATGACTTTGTTGCTTCATACTTCCATTCATTTCCCATGCTCTTTGAACAATGATATACATTTTGTTTTAGTAAAAACGTTTCTTTTCTTTAAATATTTGCCCAGTCATTAGTAAATCTGTAAGTGGCCAGATGTTTCAATAATGAAAAAAAAAAATGTTATAGTACAATAGTTATATAGTAAATTATACTTGGTAACAAAGTTGGCGTATTTGACAGAAACCAAACCATAGTAACATCAGTACCAATCCAACTATGTCCATTTTTACTTTCTCCCCCTATACCATAGTATATGGAGAAAGTATTGTTTTCGTCAAAATTTTCGAGTTTGAGTTTTGAGTGGATATATCCGATTTGGGTCCCCCTGGACCCAAAAAAGTGGTTTTCAAAGTGATGTCTGTGTGTGTCTGTGTGTCTGGATGTGTACAGAGCTAGGGACTACTTGTCCCGACTACTTGGGTCTACTTGTGGTCCGATTTCGATGAAATTTGGTATGTAGGTTCTAATCCATGGTATCTCCAGGCGTTTTTTTCATCTTTTGGAAATTTTGATTTTTAATGGGGATTTTCCCATAAAAACCCATAAAAAACCGGAAAAATCGATTTTCTCGAAAATGGCCAGAACGATTTTGATAAAAATGTAGTATGTTGTAGCCCTTTAAATTCTGAACAAAATGGTACAAATCCCATTTCTGTAAAAATTATGGTTCAAAAGTTATGGTAAATTATGTTATTTTCCCATAAAACCCCATAAAATAACAAAAAATAGGATTTTAGAAAAAAATCCGGTTTTATTTTAACATAGTATGTTATGGTCCTTAAAATTTTGATAGTTTTTTTATTTTTAATGGGAATTTTCCCATAAAACCCCATAAAATAACGGAAAAATAGGATTTTCCCAAAAACGGCCCGAACGATTTTGATAAAAATTTTGTATGTTATAGTCCTTTATATTCTGATCAAAATGGTACAGATCCCATTTCTGTAAAAATTTTCACAAAAATGGCCCGAAAGATTTTGATAAAAATTTAGTATGTAGGTAGTCCTTTAAATCTTCTATATATATAATTCCGTAAGTCAAATTTTTGTAAAGAAATTGTGAGTGACTGGATGGCCGTAGAAGGATGGGAGGGGTCATATTTTAAAGGTCTTGACGTGAATTTTGAGGGAAAACTATTCATTTATCTTATTTTTTTACTATAAATTCGCAACAGAATAAAACTTTTCCCATTAAAACAACATGGGGTTTAATTTGTTTACATCTTTTGAAATTAAAACAGCTGTACCACAGATTTGAAAACAGTGATCAATACACGCATTTGGTTTACTTTTAGCCAGTCAACTATGCAACTATGAAATGTATACTATAATAAAACTGAAATATTGAAGATTAGTCGGAAAATTCTTTGTTTATATTTAAATCATATACTCAAGTTTCATTTTTTCATGCTTTTATGTTATTGTCGTGTTAAAGGAATAAACGACATAGAATAAATATTCTGTATAAATAATCAAAGAGTCGAAATTAAATCTAACTTCTGTTTTGTTTTTATTTTTAAATCATATGTTCAAGTTTATTTTAAATGATGTTGTTTTCTTTATATTTCTACACATTTTAAGGTTAAGGTTGTGTAAATATATACAACTAAAATAACCTATAAATGTTATTGGTTCTAAAATGGTGTATTTGCATTCCTTCGTAAGTAAATTTTTTTAGTGCAGTGAATATACAACGTAAAGTAATCATATTCGATCATACTTTTATAAAATCACCAGGGATTCAAGATGTTTTGGTTGCTGGATATATATTCTTTTCATTATAAGTACTGTAATTAATATGAACGCCAGGGGAATACCACAAAGGCGGGGAACTGTTCATAGGAATGACAGTGCGCGTAGGAGAGCAAGAGTAGATAATGACGAACTTAATCAAGATATGTTACAACCCCTTTTTAGAAGACCCTTGGTAGACGAGAGAAATGTAAAGATCCATGATGCAGGATTACTGGACCAAGAGTTCATTCAATGTAGTGCTCTTCATTTTAGAGAAGAACTAACGAATAATCATTTTATGACATGTTGCCATAACGGACTTATTAACCTTCCTCAGCCAAAAACTAATGTAGAACTTAAAAGTTTGTTTGAAGAGAGCCCACAACTGTATAAATTCATTCGACAATGCAACAGTGCGATGGCTTTTGCTTATTTTTCAGCCAGTAAGAAAGATATTCCAGGAAAAGGACCATACTGTTTCAAAATTCAAGGACAGATTTATCGTTCAATCTCAGATTTGCTGCCTCAACATGATGAAGACCCTGTGTATGGCCAATTGTACATTATTGACACATCAACAGCAACAGAAATTCGTCAAAGGCATCGAGAAAATAGTGACTTAAAACCTGAAATATTGTCAAAACTAGCTGAAATTCTATTAGAAAATCCATTTGCACAAATTTACAAAAGAGCTTGGGAAGAAATAGTTGTACAAGGTGACAGTGAATTAGAACTTAGGTTTGTAGACAGGATAAATATGGATCGTCGTAGGTATAATAAGCCTACTGCAGATGAAATTGCAGGCGTCTTCAATTCATCTGAAGGTGAACCTCCAATGAATTTTTAAAATTCCAAACAGGGAAACTTTTATTTATCCTCATTAACCACAAGACCAAAGCTACCTTAGTAAACCAGTATTTATTCACAAACAATGATATGTTTGCTGCCTTTTCATGTTAAACCACTGGAGTGATTCAAATTATTTATTGAAAATGACATCAACAAAAGCAAACAAAGAAGAACAACAAACTGGTTTTTACACAAAAGATATGGTGTAGGGATGCCTATTCTGACACATAGATAATGTTATTCTGAGTTTGTTTAAATACCGGTATTGCAAAAAGTTGTTTTACATTTGAGCTTTTTAGGGACTTATGTCCCTACAAGCCACTAGTTGTGAACAAAATTGTATAAATCCCATTTCCGTATATTTACTCTCACCGCTTACACATGATAAAGGTTGTTAACAAACTTATGGGAGAAAGTAGGCTATGTGTCAGAATGCTGATACCGTTTATTATTCTTAAAGTAGCAACAAATTGAGACTGGGATATCTACTTCTAACAATACTCAAAGGTTACAGTTAGGGTCAATATTTCATGTAGCAGATAGTATGTCATTGGTAGGTGAGAGTTTAGTGTTGATGTGAACATTTAATTTGTTTGCTAAAGGATGGTTTATTAAAAATATAATAACCTAACCTAAGCCAACTACCACAGCACGTTATATAAAGGATTTCCTACAACGTAAAAGTACCCACACTACTACGAATAGCCACAACTAGTCCATAAAGACTGGATGATTTCTTCAGTACCCTCAAGCCAATGCTAAAACCGAGATATTCATTTAAGCTGGACCTAAAAACTATTTAAAAATTTATCTTTGAACAACCAAACCCGGTTTACATAACTTCTGATCCAAACGCTCACCAGGCAAGTCAAATTAAATTTGAGCTTTCAAGTCTAGTCTCATATAACTAATAACTTCTGATTAAAAAATCCCTTACCAGGCAAGTCAGACACACTGATATTGTCCATGAAGGCCTGCACATCAAATGGTTCTAGATAGAACTGTCCGTCGGGTTTGGCCCTCTTGGTGGCTAGTCTCGCCTGCAGACGGTTGGCTCCAAAGCCAGCAGAGCATGGGCAACCTGTCTTTTCCTGGAATATTACAAAATTGCAAATGATATAAATAATCAGAAACTATGAAAATAAGTATAATAAACTATCCTGTGTCTTCTAAAATATTGAAAAATACAAATATATTATCAAATAAATAAATATAGGATGGAGAGGACACAGCTAACTCACCTGATGAAAGGTTGCAGATGAGTCAAAGAACACATAAAATCACACACATAAAATCAGGCACATTGCAATATTGTATTTACATATAATATGTACATTGAAAAGCAAATTAGTTTTGTCCATGAAAATAAATACTTAAGAGTTAGCTGTGAGGGTGAGGATATGAGGATATTATCTAATGTTGAGGTTAGGTGGGGTTCTGGAGTTGGTCACAAACTGGTAAGCTAATTCCCATCTTCTGAGCATTGAACTATTGCATTGGTTCTTTGGCAATGATTTTAGAGCTTTTATGGTGAAACAGTCATCAAATAGAAGTTGGTGGGATAAGGCATGTTGTGCAACTGGTTTTTCTTTGCTAGTTTTAACATCATGTCGATGGCCGTTCATGCGTTTTCGGAGAGTCTCGGTTGTTAGGCCTATGTACTGGGCTGGACAATGTGAACATTGAAGCTGGTAGATAAGGTTCTCTGAGCTGCAGGTATGATGGCCTTGGATTCTGTAATTTTTATTATGGTATGTGCTGGTAAAAGTTTCTGTAGGATGGTGTATCTGGCATTTAATCCAAGCTAAATGCTTTTTCCTAAAAATATATTATCAACAAAACTATCGAAATTACCTGTAAGACTTATGTATAATTATTAGTTTGTTTAGAAGCAACATTGACCTTTAGATAGCAGGGTAGACATCCCATCTATTTGGACCAACTGTAGCCTATTAGTGAAAAAGAACATAGTTGAATGATCCCCTTTCAAAGAGAGCTACTGTGGTACTAAAAAGCTGATGTGCATACAACATAAATCATTAAAACACATTAAACCCTATGCCCGAGTATAGGCCAGGGTACTCAAAATGCCGCGGCGAAAGAAGCCCGAGTAAACCGGGTGTCTGAAAAAGAACTGAAACATTTAAAAGGCAAATACTGATACCAAATAAGAGACTATGTTATAGTAGTTTACGCAACGATTGCGTAAAGATAGTGTTAACGACACGAGTAGAAAGTTTAAGGTACGAGCCTTGGCGGGTGCCTTAAAAACTTCTACGAGTGTCATTAACATTATTTACACGAGTTGAATTTAACCCTCAATTATATTAGTACTCAGTAATAGTGTAAGTCCAGTAACTATCATTCAAGTTTGATTAATTACAAACTTTGAATTAGCATGAAAAATATATCGAAAAAAGTCTGAGTACAACTAGTTATCTCTTGCATGCTATACAAAATGTTGTTTCAATGAATAATTTCTCCTTCTGTCTTTGTATGTGGCGAAATTCCTTGAACCTAAAAATACTCTTACCTATTTTTTTAAATAAAAAAAGCTACAGTCTTACCTCACTCAAATTTGGGTTAGTTGCATCCCCCCTCTTGGCAAAAAAAAAGTATCCGGGATTGGTTTAAAATGATGAGGAAATTAAACAATGGGCTTTCTGAACTTTTAACTAGTTTGAAAATCTCCACACCTATGGACGTGTGTTTCCATGTAGGCCTATAATAAACTTTGCAAGTATATTAGGCCTAAATATATAGATTTTATATGGAAGAAAAAATACATATACTTATCAGCAGGCACACGGAAAAATCAGTTTAAAAATTTACTCAATTGTTTTTATTTAGGTCTTATCTTTGATATACATACCTTGATCTCTTCTCTGATAAGCGAGGCCAGCTGTAGAGGAGAAAGGCATGTCTCATTGAGCAATGAAGTGCAATCCACAAACATCTCATCACAACTTACTGCTTCAATGTCTAATGTGTAACTGTAAGCCCAGCATATCAGCAACATGTAAGAAACGTTCCAGATTTTAAGTACATGTAATGTATTTTCTGAAATTAATCTTTCAGCTTTTATACAACTAACTAGGCATTACGGAAAAATAACACAACAGTGTACATTAGAAAAGTCAAAAATAAATTTAGAATTACATACCTTGCAACAGTATTATACAAGCAATAAGAAACTTCTTTGTAGCCATCAAAATCATACGGAATCGTCTTTAAGGAGGGACACAACTTTAAAGCTTGTCCTAAAAACATTCCATTTTTCAAACCCATCTTTCTTGCTTCATAGTTGCAAGAAGCTATTTCAGACATAGAATCAGACTCTTCAATAGATTCAACCCAGTCAGACCATGGTTGTACATCAGCGTTATTAACTTTGTGAGAAATATTTTTAGCTTTTTCTTCTTTCCTCGTTTTGTAAAGTTCAAACTCAGCTTTCCTATCCACACCATTTCTCTGGAATCCACTCTTTTCACCTTTGGCATGAGTAACTGCAACTGGAAATGTTTTTAAGTCTGGTCTTTTGCGCAAACCAACTGAAACAAAGAAACAATCCATGTCTATATGCATTATGACACTCGAATATCTTTTAGTGCTTTTTTTATATGAATTGCTGCAATTGAGTGATTTTAATTTTGTCAAACCAGGCAAACTTCCACTATTCTTTAATCTGAGTTCATTTACATACTGTTTAAACGTGGCACCCATTGTAGATATGTGATGAAGGCGAGAGTTGCAATAAAATTCTGATAAGAACCCAGCCTCACTTGCTGTTTTTATGGCTGAGGTTTTGGATGTACCTGGTACTGCCTCAACTTCAGAAATTAGGCGAGGCTTCGCTTCATTTGGTATATTATTATCTAAAGGAGAATTTTGTTGCACGTCATCATCAACATTCTCAGTTGGTTCCATAGAATGGTTATAATCACTATCACTACTATTGTCTTTAGTATCAATTTCAGTACCGGTACTCAACTCTGTAAATGTCTTGCCTCTTGATTTAAAATCACTACTATTGTCTTTAGTATCAATTTCAGCACCGGTATCCAACCCTGTCTTGCCTCTTGATGTATCTACATTCTTGAAGGTCAGTTTGGGTTGGGTTTTCGACTGATGGCTGTATAACAGATACTGACAATAATCTAGAACTTTCCCTGCCGCAATAGAATCAACAATCCAATCAGGTTTGACAACATTCATGTTTTTCAAGTGTTTCACCTTTGTATCAGGTAGGTTGGTAGCAATGACATGTGTAGTGCGGTCAGAACGGAAATAGTGATGGTAAATACCTCCGTGTTTCATCATCAGTAGCTTGAGTTCGTCAGCTGACGGAACTGAAATTTAAATAAAACGTGATTAAACTTTTCTTGAAAAAGATAATTGAGCAAAAATTACACTCTTGAAGCTTTATGTTAATGCATAAAAATGCGGATTAGACAATTTAAATATGATTTCTTAAACACAAAATAATGTGTAACTAGTGTACCTGTTGCTCGAAATCGAGCAATTTTCAAGTACCCGTATTATACAGAAGTTATTTTAAAACTACAGTAATAACGGTCATAATTTTCGATGAGTTTAAAAGACCCGACTAAATACTTATGTAACTAATTGTAATACTCACGCTATTTAATAGCGCTTTTAAATAATAAACGCTTCTTGTAAAAATATTTTAGAATTTTTTGGACCCGACCTTATATTTTAGTGTTTTCCACAAATGTTTCCCAACTTAAAGCTATTACCAGTATGTTAAACATTTCTGCGTGAATTTATTTGATCTGACTTTAGGTAGGTTTACTTTACTACTGTGACAACACGAAGTGTCCATATTCTTCATGGGGTTTTTTTACTTCCAAAAAGTTGCTTAGCATAACTGGCAAACATGATCCATCTCCCCAAGTGATTGTGTACCTGGATTCCTTACTGTGAGAAAAAGGCCTCTCCTCTACTCTTCACATACGTAAAAGATTTCCTATTAATTGTCTCATCCTCCTGTTTTCAATATTTCTCCTTTAAACTCAAGAAATTGTCTGTTCTTCCAACAAAACTGATTGACTGTTTAGATTTGTCTATAACCCCCTAAATCCCAAAAAGCTGGTGAGTTTCTTTTTATGTACAGCTGTTTTTGTTTTTAAATTTGTTCAATGTAATTCTTATGGGGAAAATGCGACCTTTGAGAGCGTCTCGTGCCCTTAAGGGTAAGAGTTCTTAAAATTCTAAAATCTTTATGCAAAACTACGAATTGAGACGAATTATTTGACACCTCAAACGTTAAAATCGATTCAGAAATAACGGAGGAGTTTTGTTCACAAAAAACAGCCCTCACGTATTAATATAAGAGATTAACACAAAACAAAGTAATTAATTACAAGCAATCTTAAGCAATCAATTGTATCTCCAAAAGGATAATTCAAGAGGGAAACGGAAAAAGGAGCACAAGTCATAAAATCTTTTATAACACTTTCACAGACTATTTGTAGGCCTAAAGCAATTTTCAGTTACCACTCCCGTTCAGGGATTTTAAATGTAATTTTATTCTGAGCTCTTTTGTTGTTTAAGTAATCAGTAATGTATTAAAAATATATCCTGATTTAATTGTCCTTTGCAGTGTACAACAAAATAGTTAAAGATATATTCTGAATTTTTAGAAATATGGTGCTTTAAAAGTTTAACTTAGTTTGGAGATAGGCCTACTACTGAGGAATTAATTGCTGTTTAACATAATTATGTTCAATATTATATTATAATGTTTAAAAGTTGTGTTTGTTCATAAATATTTTGGAACAAGTACTGTATTATTATATTTTTGAATGTATTTTTTGATGTAGGGATTTGGTTAGATAAATTATGTGGTTGATAGGTTTGCGGCGTACAGTTTGCTCAAAAGTTTGGGATCCTTGTTAGCTTTAAATATATAGCATATATATAAATATATATATAAAATGATGGTTGGGTGTACGGAATGAATAAACAGATAAAACATCCGTTTGAGTGTTTTCGATTTATTACTCATGTAATATAGTCACTAGGAATAGGCCTACACAAATGTGCCGAGTAGGGGAGTAGGATAACACTTATTCGTTAGGTGCTAGGTCCTGTTTGCTGTAACAAATTAACTTAGCACGAAGAGTGAGCAAACATGTGATATTATTTGTTCCTGACTATCCAAACCATTTTGATCTTTTGAAGTCAGAACCTTACAAATCGTAACAAAAGGGAGTCGACAAACAGTAATTGCCTCGATACTTTGGCAATATACGGAGGCCACCTTTATACAGTGTGCTGCGGTCGTTATGTTAGGTTGGGCTATGATAAAGTAAAATATGTTTGTAGGGCTTTCCTTGTTTAGTTATGAATAAGATTATACCAAATGGAAATGAGTCATACTTTGGCCCGCCAAATCCCCTCCAAGTAGGCAAAGTTCAGGTCCGTGACCAGAGCACGTCTATTACCTGTCACCGCCTATCTGGGTCAGTGTCCTGAGTGATTATTTGCTGTGCAATAGGTTAGTTTTGTCTCCATAATGAGTCACATTCTTTTGATTTGGGATTTACCTCAAAATGAACTATTTATAATAACCCAACCTAACATAACCGCCAGAGCGAGCTGTATAAGGATGGCCTCCGTATATTACTAATGTTAGTTACCATTCCCTAAGTTACCATAGTATGGATAACCAATGTGTACAATTATAGTGAGGTCTGTGCATTTGCCTAGAGCAATTTTTATTTTATTTTGGAGCAATTTTTTCATTATGACTTCACACCCCATTGGATGTGTTTTATTGAGCAGAGCGAAGCGAAGGTCTTTGGGTTCAACTTCAATGCAATATAACAATTAATCTCAATAACGGCTGAACATATTTTAGCCAAACTTACTTAGGTTGTTTTGTCAAATGTTTAGATGGTTTAGACGTAACCAATTTCAATTTTTGATAATGCCTAGCCTATAATTTTAAAGTAAATCAAAGTTTTAAGTTTTAACATTGGTCTTATGGGTTGCCATGATTACAAAATAATGGTTACAAAAAAACAACGTAAATGTAGGCCTAATTAAAACAAACAATCATAGCGTGATCATAGCATAGGCCTATGTTCAAATCAATCCACGGCCTACACACAGTACAAAGGAAAAAACCTTTGATGATGACAACTGATCAAATAATACAGAGAAAGTCTTAGGTTTACATTTAAGTCGCTATTTGGAAACGACCATTGATCGAATAGGTAGGCCTACTGTCATAGATAAATCATACATTTTAGGTATAGTATTTAACTGATTTGATTTACGTAGCTAAATAAGGTTATAACAAATAGCCTAACATTTTATCTTTAAAAATTCGTAGGTGAATCACATTCATGGATCAATCTCATAAATGGTAGCCTAAACTTGAACAGTTCCACGACGTAGGAAGTGGTGAAGGGAGTAGTAACGGCTAGTAATGCAGAGTATGGGAACGCTTTGGGGCAGTTAGATTAACGTATCTAAAATACTAAAATATTATGGGAATGAAGGGAAACAGGTACTTAGGACTTAGGAAGCGATGAAGGAAGTAGGACAGGCCAGCAGTGCAGTGTGTGGGAACCGTCTGTGGCATTTAGATTAATGTATCTGCAATCTTAAAATACTCTAGGAAGCGAGGGAAACAGGTCCACAACGTAGGAAGTGGTGAAGGAAGTAGTAAAGGGTAAAGGTGCTGAGTGTCGGAACCCTTTGTGGTAGTTCTGATTAATGTATCCGTATCGGCAATCCTAAAATGCTATGGGAAGGGAGGGAAACAGGTCCACGAGGTAGGAGGTGGTGATAGAAATAGTAGGCCTATAGGTTAGCAGTGCAGAGTGTGGGAACATTTTTATTTTGTATTATATCTAGGCCTTTAGGCTAAACCTTTTTTTATTTATTACTTTAAAAACCGTGAAACATGATTGCTCCGCTCAACTGGCTTTCACTGTTCTGAAAGCAATCCTAATCCTAGTTTTATAGTTGGTTACCTACCTATACTTTATTGGATTTACCTGTGTAGCCGTTGACAAATATTGATATACCATTGAATATTTTGGTGTTATCATTCAAGGGCTCTTTGGAGGCATCAATCATGAACTGTTCTTGCAATTTTGCCTTCTTTGCTGCCATGTAACCACCCTGAAAGTTGTTATACCGGTAAGTTAAGTATTTTCTTAACAAACTATGAACAATTAGACGTTAGTTAGTGGTAGGTAACTTAAAGGAGAAATAAGTTACCGGTAGTATGAAACTACCGGTACCACTAAATAACTTGAATAAATCAAAATTTATTTTAGCTGTAGGAAAGGAAGGTAATGAGGTAACTTAGAGCTCTCTGTAAATGAAATTGTGGTGTAACCTAAAATGCAATAGGCCTACTTACTTGCATGGCAGATGATTGGTAAGACTTGGCTAGTCCAATGATAGGCCTAGGCCTTGTTTTGATATTAGGCTAAGTTACCGGTAAGTTAGGCCTAACTTATTAAAAATAGTAGCCTATGTTTAATAAGTTTGTGTGTCAATATGTTTAGGCTAATACATTTTTTCCTACAGCTTAATAACCTGTGACCTACCATCATCACTATCATCACCTATCATCCTATCATTACCTATCATCATTGTTTTGTTAGTTTTTCTTCTTTAAAATTTTCTAAGGCCAATGTTAGCCTAGATACCTAATCAAATGAATGAAGTGGATGAAAGTAAAATTTTTGGGGGTAAAAAGTGCTTAAAATAGCCCAATTTTGTTAGATAGGCCTAAGGCAAAAAAATGCAAAAATCAATAGTAAAAGTTCAGTATTATTTTCGTGGTAATTCTACGTACATAGGCCTAGGCCCTACCATTTAAGTAGTTAGGCCTTACAGTTAGTTAGGAATTACAAAAAGTGCTAAAATGTGGCTAAAAAGTTATCTCTCCAATAGACAGCAAATAGTCGAAGTAACCCACTATACTAACAACACCAAACAAAAAATAAAATCAACCTGTGGGAAGATGGAAAATGGCGTACCACAGGGCTCCGTATTGGGACCATTACTCTTCCTAATATATGTCAATAGCCTACCTCAAAACCTCCCCGAATTCACAAAATGTATAATGTTTGCCGATGACACAACCCTCATTGTTCCAGCATCAAATATAGAAGAACTTGAAAACCGAATTGAAGCAACAACAATTTCTGCAAGCGACAACTTCAAAAAACTCAATCTCACTATAAACCAGACAAAAAGTGCAATAGTAAACTTTACATCAAGAAACACAACAAACCAAAAGCCTAACGCCAATATTGAAATAGTATCAGAAACCAAATTCCTAGGACTAATAATTGATGAAAACCTCAGCTGGAAAACTCATGTAGAAAATTTAACAAATAAATTATCCTCAGCATTTTATGGCCTTAAGAGAATAAAAAGAATATCTGGGAAAAATACCGCACTTGTGGTTTACCATGCTCTAATTTCTTCCCACATAAGATTTGGCATTATAGCCTGGGGAGCGGCACCGCAAATCTACCTAGACCAAATACTAACTGTCCAGAAGAAATCTATAAGAGCAATTAATGATCTGCAAGATGAAGAACACTGCAAACCATACTTTATCAACGATAAAATTTTAACAGTCATATCCATCTATATCTACGAAACCATCATCCATTCCCTAACATCAAACAACAATAGAAGAGAAGACATACATGACCATAACACAAGAAGAAAACAACAATTTGACCTACCATACAATAGACTTAAAAAATCTCAAAACCATCCAAACTACATAGGACTAAAATTTTTTAACCATCTCCCAGATCAATTAAAAAATATTCAAAACACAAACGGCTTTAAAAATAAACTTAAAGACTTCTTCTCAACAAGACCCTACTACAAAATAAAAAATTTCTTTGAGGCTACTGATGACCAAAAATGATGTGAAGAAATAAATCCGGACGAGCCCCCTTTCTTAAGGACAGCGGAGGCGAACACCCACAAGTAACAAGTAAGTAAGTAAGTAACAAGGCCTACTTCTTTAGAAGAGAAAAGTGCAACCCCATTTCGTAAAAACTGGACTAGGCCTAGGCTACAAATAAAAATATTCACCCATTGAGCAAAACCATTGTCTTCTCCACCCTTTGGCTTCCTTTTCCTGCCCATTTTTTCAATACAGTTGAATTTAAATAAAAAATGTGAGATATTAAGAAACAACACAATCACTAGTCAGTCACAATAAACGACAGACGACAGACAAGCTGACAAGAGACAACAAGAACAAACAACAAATAACACAACACAACCAGTGTTGCCAACCGACCTCTTTGGTTTTCATGGGTTTTCCCCGCATGAAACATACATACATACATACATACATACATACAGGTTACTCTTCTCCGTAGTCTTGAAGACCAGGGAATTGTCAATTCTTGAGGTTGGGGTAGGTGTGTGTGCTTGTGTGTGTGTGTGAGAGTTTATTTGTTGAGGCGTTTGTGGTCGTCAAAGAAATCTGTTTAGGGTGTAGTATCATAGCTAAGGGAGTATGTTTTATCTATGGTAGTATGGTCTTTCAATCAGGTAAATTCAGGTAAAAATGACGAAAATCGTCGATTTTCCTCGCATGGATTCTAAAATTACTCGCAAAATCCTCGATAGCATCCAAGATTAAAATAATTTGATATTTCCCCATATTTACACTATAACTACCCATAATATACGTTTCCACGTATTATTTTTTTATTAGAGGTACAAATAAACGGTATCAGCAATCTGACACATACTTTCTTCCATTAGCCTACCTTGTCAACAACCTTTATCATGGGTAAGCGATGAGAGTAATTATGATAATAATATAGGTAAAATCACAAAAGTTTCATTAACTTTTGAACAGTAATTTTAACAGGAACGAAAGGATGCACTATTTTGTTTAGAATTATAAGGACCATAACAGAAGAATTTCAATCAGAATCGTTTAAATTTTTAAAAAAATCCATTTTCCAGCACAAGTAAACATGAGCTATCAGTGCAAATCTATAGCTAACGGTATAAAAGCCCTTAAATTTTTAATCTTAACAGACTAAAACAAAATAAACGGTATCAGCATTCTGACACATACTTTCTCCCATAAGATTGTCAACAACCTTTCTCATGTGTAAGCGGTAAGTGTAAATATACGGAAATGGGATTTGTAAAATTTTCTTCAGAATTTAAAGGACTATAACATACTAAATTTTTATCAAAATTGTTCTAGCCAATTTTGGGAAAATCCGATTTTCCGTTATTTCATGGGGATTTTTATGGGAAAATAACATAATCCACCATAACTTTTGAACCGTAATTTTTACAGAAATGGGATTTGTACCATTTTGTTCAGAACATAAAGGACTATAACATACTAAATTTTTATCAAAATCGTTCGGGCCATTTTTGAGAAAATCCTATTTTTCCAGTTTTTTATGGGGTTTTATGGGAAAATCCCCATTAAAAATAACATTTTCTAAAAAATGACGAAAACTATCAAAATTGAAAGGATCATAACATACTCTGTTAAATCAAAACCGGATTTTTGTCTAAAATCCTATTTTATTTTATTTTATGGGGTTTTTATGGGAAAATAACATAATTTACCATAACTTTTGAACCATAATTTTTACAGAAATGGGATTTGTACCATTTTGTTCAGACTTCAAAGGGCTACAACATACTAAATTTTTATCAAAATTGTTCTAGCCAATTTTGGGAAAATCCGATTTTCCGTTATTTTATGGGGTTTTTATGGGAAAATAATATAATTTACCATAACTTTTGAACCATAATTTTTACAGAAATGGGATTTGTACCATTTTGTTCAGACTTCAAAGGGCTACAACATACTAAATTTTTATCAAAATCGTTCGGGCCATTTTTGAGAAAATCCGATTTTTCCAGTTTTTTATGGGTTTTTATGGAAAAATCCCCATAAAAAATCAAAATTTCAAAAAAATTGAAAAAACGCCTGGAGATACCACGGATTAGAACCTACATACCAAATTTCATTGAAATCGGACCACAGGTGTAGTCCCTAGCTCTGTACACATCCAGACACACAGACACACACACACACACACACACACACACACACACACACACACAGAGAGACATCACTTCGAAAACCACTTTTTTGGGTCCAGGGGGACCCAAAACGAATATATCCACTCAAAACTCAAACTCGAAAATTTTGACGAAAACAATACTTTCTCCATATACTATGGTATAGGGGGGGAAAGTAAAAATGATGTTTCTATTATGACAAAAGTGTTCCTATCTTAACCCATGGTGGAAGGAAAAAACATAGGTGTACTGCTATTACCACATATTCTGACGTCACTCGGATTGCAAACTAAAGATCACCTGATTGTAACTGTCAAGTTAGTATATGTATTTGTTTTGATATCAAATCAAAACAAATAAGAAAATAAATTATTGCTATATAAAACCAACGATAAAACTATATTGAAACCAATCTGGATATATGGAGTGCAACTATGGGGCTCAGCGAGTACTTCTAATATAGAAATTCTCCAAAGATACCAATCGACAATGCTGAGGAAGATAACAAATGCACCATGGTATGTCAGCAATAGAACACTATTTATTGTTTATATAACAATAGAATTTTTTTTTTATACATCAAGACCTTAAGATGCCTACAATTAAGGACGAAATCATGACCATAAGTGAACGATATATTACGAAATTGGAATCTCATCAAAATTATTTAGCTCTTAACTTATTAAACAACATGGATACAATTTACAGACTAAAGAGGCCATCAATTCTCGACCTACCCTACAGAGTGTTTTTTGTAAAGTGTTTTTGTTGAAAAATTTGTTGTTGAGAGTGCTTAACAGCTATTTTTAACCAACCTAAAGGTGAGTGAGCGTAGCGAACAAACTTCAACCAGGACGTGATTGAGCCATGCGAACGAGATAATCTTGAAAATTAAGAAGTTAAACGGGGCAAAGCCCGCGGGTTACAGCTAGTTGTTCAATGTATAATAGAACAGATTGTAAAGTAAATAAGTAAATAAAAAAAACCACTAATTTGACAGTTACAATCAGGCGATCTTGGGCGATCTTTTGTTTGCAATCCGAGTGACGTCAGAATATGTGATGATCTTAACCTATAAACAAACGATTCGTGTTAGTGTAGCCAGTAAAAATGAAAAAAAAATATTAAGAAGGCCAAACCCTACTTAAAATGTATAGTATGTTATAAATTACCCTTATGGTTAAAATTTAGTTTTCATTAATTTGCTCTTTTTATTAATCTAATTCTTTCAGGCACAATGTTGGATTTGATTCCTTTTGTTATTATTATTGCATAGCACTTAATATCAATAATGTGTATTGATACATTTGTAAAATGCATGTTATTATTTTTCACTTATCACTTCCTTTTAAAAAGTTTTTATTTTGTACTGATAATTCCGATAGCCAAATTAGTTTGTTTACGGGGGAAATTGTATGTTTATCCATGATATCCATGATACTCATGATACTCAAAAGTGTTTCTTAGGTTTCTTACAATGAAAAAAAAAAAAAATACTGCTCAGAAAGCAACGAATGTGTGGACACACCTCTGCTTGGGAATTGAGAAATACTAACACAAGTAGCTCGCCATTCTTTTCAAATATTTGGCTGTCAGGGAGTTCCAAGGTGCAAACTCGCCTGTGCATTGATAAATTACAAAAGATACTACGAGTTAATAAAGAGTTCGAATTTAACACAACTAACAACAATTTTCCATCTTTTTCAAGATAAATTTAATAAAATAGTGAGCGATTTAAGAATTGATTTTAATGCCTGGAGAACAAAAAACTCATCCTATATCTAGCAAGGATAATATTGCATTGAATATATACAAATACACTGCGTATATAACTATTTAATTAAAAAGAAAGCCGTGCTGCAACGTGGTAGACAATTTTAGAACTTCTGAGCTTAGGTTTTCGGTTGACCAGTCCAGTGTTGATAGAATATTTTTGGTCATTAGGTTTGGTTGAGGTGTCTTGCCAGTAGACAGTCCTAAACAGTAAGCACTGATGATCTAGTGTAGAATTCATGGGCTTACGTGAAGCTGTCTGTGGGAGAGTTTTTTTGAGAGAGTAGCGACAAACTAAAATAAAAACAGTGAACAAAAAACTGATACTACGAACGATTTGTATAATGTCTTAACTTATGAAACTTGTTATAGATGTTGATAATTCTGAGCAAAACTGATAAGTAAAAATTGATGAAATAGTTGTATTTTGTATGATATCTATAAACATTTGTTTATTTATTGCTTTATTAAAAACCATGAAACGTGATCGCTCCACTTAACTGTCTTTACCTGCTATGAAAGCAATCCTTTTTTAGGTTACCCTGTGAGATAAACAACTGATATAAGAGTTGACAAATGCAGGATTGATGACGTCACAAGTGGATAGATTCACTGTCACTATGTTTTTAAGCTGGCTGTTTACGTCTGGCAACTTTAGTACAACTATCCACCACTGTGACGTAATGTTGCGCTGCCCGCACTGCATTATGGCCTTTTTTCTAGGGGTCTTGGATAAACTGTGCTGTACATATTTTTTTTTATTTATTGATTTGCAATTTAACAGGATTAATTAGTTTGGAATGGTGTCTAAGAAAGACATTTTATTAATCAACACATTACAAAAATATAGAATACCGGTATTCTAAGATATAAAAACCACCGTTCTTTGGTAAGATTGTCTGAACAGGACCATTATTAAAACCTATATCAGAAAATGGAAAATTTGTTATCTACATCAATTCTATCTCTGGTTCTTTTAACTTCGTTCTGTGGCTGACATTGTCATTTGGCCATCTCTGTTTCCTTACAAAAGCCTAATATGTGGAACAAACCTGCTTGTTTTTTTTTTTATCTTATTGTAGGAAATGTATATTCATTAATTGTTCTTCCATATTTCATTTGGTTTTCTTGAATTTCAGCCATTAAACTATCATCAGCTTAAGCTTGAGTTTCGTCAATTATTTCATCTTACATTTTACCCCTTGTGAATGCATCAATGATTGTTATCGTATAAGATCAACATAAATATCAAAAATATATCTTTGTGAATATAAAAAAAAACATGATTGGTGCAGATGAATAGAACAATGCATTACAGCTCTCCTCTTGATCTTTCGGTTTTAAATAAATTGCCATAATTAATTAAAATAAAAGTTTATTTAAATCAAACCCTCTGCCTGCCACAGAAAGTGTTCAACCTCTATGGTTATTTAATCATTATTTAACCATATGTTTTTATTTATTTTTTTACTGATATTGTCTTGTATTTTGGCCTTTAATATAAATAGTTTAGTTTCTTTTGATCTTTTAATTTTATCAAAATAAGAAATAGAACAGAAAGCCTGCAAACCTAGCAAATTTCCAAACCCTTCATGATCATTTTTTGAAATATTAAGCATGTCAGATTTATACCCTATTTTCAATCACATGTGGTTACAGAGTACTTAGGTTTGTTGCCCTAAAGAAAGGTAATAAAGTTTTTTTTCTTTTGCGTTTTTCTCTTTGTAGCCATTTGGTACAAATAATTAAGAAATCTCGGAATATCGGTCGAGCAAACAATTTTTAAGCTATAAAAAGCTTAAAGGAAATCGGGAAATTTTGATTTTATAAGGGTAAAATGTAAGAAAGCATAATTTATTCCCTATAAAATTCTGTTCCCATAGTTCGATCACACTTTTTAACAAAGTTTCATCAAGATCGAACTGTTTTGAGTCGAGTTGGAGTTATGGTGCTTACGAACACTGACACACAAATAGTGTTTTGGACCTTGGGGAAATAAAATCAAAAAAGTAAATCAGTCTTCTATGTCTTACCCCGAGATATACGTCAATAGCTTGTGTACATATGTATTTATACATGTATTATAAGACATCAAAGATAGTTTATTCCGGTTCATAGTTTGGAGTATTTGAAGTGAAGCTTGCCTCACTTCTTTACTTGAAGTTGAAATATAAATGCTGGTTTAACTTGTACAAACCACACTCCTAAAATACGAGTACACACTCTATTGTTCGTGACTTTCTCTTGAGTGAAGTGTTAAAGTTTGTTTTTACGCGTTGTTTTATTAGCAAAAGTCTGAACACACACTTTTGGATCCAAGCCTGAAAAATTGCAAAATCTACTGAACCGACTGAGTTTAAATTTTACGAAAGAAATATAGCTATCATACCAAGAATAGTAATAGGTATTCATAATTCGATACTGACCGTGGACTTTGCCCCTTTGGATTTAAAAAATCTGAGGTTAGGATTTTAAAAGTAAATATTGATTGGTCTTTAGGGCTGCAATGAGAACACCAACTTTTTTTTTAACTAGTGAACCTGTGCGGCTCAATGCCCCGCAAAAACATATGAATTTAGAAAGCAAATTCATCGTGTTACCGGTATATATTGACTCGTCGAAAATTAAATACAGTAGGCCTAATGATAAAGCATTAGAAGGGAAGCAATCCAGCCATTTTCTAGCTGTATGCGTATTATATTTAGTAAATTAATAAGTGTTCAAGTTCAAGTATGTTACAGGGTAGTTATGTTTTTAAGACTTTTAAAAACACAATTAACAAAACATTTTATCATATCAAACCAATAAGGCAGTGAATGTAGCATATACCTATGTAGCATATTTTGAGGGTCATAAAATGCTGCTTGAAGAAAACTCTTTTAAAAATAAACACTGAAAAACAATATTTTTTTTTCACAAAAGCATTTTCATAAATACTACGATTCTAGTCAGTTACCTTCAGGAATATTACCCTGGTCAGAATTTTCCGTAATGAATATGCTTATCCTACTATTAAAAGATGTAGCCTTACTTAAAACAACAAATACATATACAATATATAGTTACTCATGACTGAAATTGGTCTGGCTAAGAACATTGCTGCTCATTAATTAAAGTGCTTGTGCTGAAAATGCCAAAGATAACAGAAATTAGCATAACTTTGTTTCAGACGGGCAAATTTGTTATCCTCGAAATCAAAATATGTCCTTACTCACTTGTTCCATGTTATGACTTTAGATTTTACTTTACATTGTTTTTAACCGTTCCGATCATGAAGCCTTGTGCCATTAATGAGGCCCTTTTTGATGTATTAATATCAATAAAACCACTGCCTCCTTTTATTATTATAATCTGTGTCTTGGCAATCCACTGACCTCTATATTTAAAAACTCAGTTGGATTTTCTAGATGGGTGCCTCTGCCTTCGACTGTTTTCGAGGACCCACTCTTCCCCTTGGCATACTGACAATTAATTACCTAACTTGTAAAGTTCATGAAGTAATTCATTAATACTGTTAGTTTATAAAGAAAATTAGATAAAAGGTACTTGGCTTGGTGCTTTCATAACTGCAAACTCAAAATACACCCACAAGTAAAAAAGAATCAAGTTATTGGTTAAAAAAACTATGTTTGTGTAAAAACATTAGTCACATGAAGTAGATGATTTGTTTGATTTCTCGATCAGCTGTTTCGTTTCTAATGAATTAATAATGTCAAAGATTTGTGATTTTAAATACATCAATTAGTATAGTAAAATTTTCTAAATATGGTAACTTATTCTCAACTAAATTTTACTATTCCCAGCATGAAAATAAAGTAGTGAGATCCATTATGAGTAAAGTTTAAGGCACACAATCCTTGATTGAAATGTAGTATACATTAACAGTCATAATACACAGCAATTATTATGTAGTAGACTTTGAATATTTTCAAGTAACAAACATATGTTTCTGTAAATAAAAATTATCTCCCTTGTTATCCTTATGGAGAAATACGAAACTTTAAAGGGCCCCAGGGCCTCACTCTCTAATTATTTCCTTAAAAAGAAGGTTTCCTGCACAACTTCACGTTACGCTCTTTCCAATGACACCAAAAACATGTCAATCGGTTCAGTAGTTTCGGAGGAGTAATTGTCACAAAAATCGTGCTTGCGTATTAAATAAGTACTAGTGTCCCTGTTGCTCGAAATCGAGCAATTGCTGAGTATTACAGGCTTTATTTTAAAACGAATTTCAACCAAGTCAGCAAGATTGCAGCAAACTGTTAAATTAGCAAACTTATTGACTGTTTACAATTAACATATGCTCTTCTTCTCACTTTTGATTTCTGACAACAGCTGGAGTTTCATAACAATTTTTGTTTCCAATGTTATTCTTATGGAGAAATACGAAACTTTAAAGGGCTCCATGGCCTCACTCTCTCATTATTTCCCTAAACAGAAAGTTTCCTGCACAACTTCACGTTACGCTCTTTCCAATGACACCAAAAACATGACAATCGGTTCAGTAGTTTCGGAGGAGTAATTGTCACAAAAAATCTGCTTGTGTATTAAATAAGTACGAGAGGTCATCCAGTGGTCGAAACTCGACCAAAAATATGTAATGTAAACTTACTCACTTCTCTATTTTCACCCCACACTGTAAATAAAACATGTGATTGGAGTTTCTTCCATTTGTTTTGATTTTCTGTTTATATTTCGTTGTTATTTCGTCACCAGCATGGCAACGCATAAGATCCATGTTAATTTTTTCAAATTTTTAAACTAATTTTTTGTGCTTATCTTTGAGCCTATTTAAATTTATAAAGGGATTCTGCACACCTACAGGAAAATAGCTTTCTAACGGTATGCGTAGATTTACCCCACGATGCACACGAGCTGAGAAAAAAGGTTTTAAAGAAACATGCTTGCCTATTAATATATAGACTAGAGGTCGTCGAGTGGTCGAAACTCGACCAAAAATATATAATGTACAGACTTCTCTATTTTCACCCCACACTGTAAATAAAACATGTGATTGGCATTTCTTCTATTTGTTTTGATTTTCTGTTTATATTTCGTTGTTATTTCGTCACCAGCATGACAACCCATAAAGCCCATGTTAATTTTATTCAAATTTCAAATTCATTTTTTGTGCTTATTTCTGAGCCTATTTTAATTTTTAAAGGGTTTCTGCACACCTACAGAAAAATATCTTTCTAACGGTATGCGTAGATTTTCCCTGCGATGCACACGAGCTGAGAAAAAAGGTTTTAAAGAAACATGCTTGCCTATTAATATATAGATAGATAGATAGATATAGATTTGCTTTGACATTTCAATATTAACAAGAAGGACAGCCAAATTCCACATTTAACAATTTCAGAAAGCTGATCCAAATAAATTAAATATAATATTTTACACAACTAACTCTGGGGTAGGTTTATTTAATCTACAACTTTATCATAGATTATTTATTCTAAAACTCTGTCAATGATTATAAAATAAAAAAAAATATATTCTATAACCTTTGCTGTATCAACTCAGACCTGCTTTAGATTTTTTACTAAAGTTATGAAACAAATTTTATTGTTGTAACCGCTGACGTTAGTGTTGCTAATAATTTATGGTGAGTGAAAATGGAAGGATTTGTGATTTAATTTAAAGAAGATTGACAAAAATAAACTATTATTTACATGTAAAAATTTAAGGATGACCTTAGTAAAAAAAACTTTGACCTGCAATACATACTCTGTTTGGGCTTCCGAAAACACCATGTTGAATCTTATATTTATAAAAAATTCCCAATAACACTAAACATCATAGATAACCATGCAACGATGCATAGATAACCATGCATTTTTTTTCGTCATTAAATGTGTCCCACACTACCTCCAACTATTATTAGGCCTACGTTAAAAAAAAAACATGTATAATTTTGTCTTGCATTGACATAGTGATTTTCGGGGAGCGTTTAAGGTTGAGATTTGCCTTCCAAAGGAAGAACAATCTTTAAATGAGGACAATTAGCACGGGGAAATGGACTAGGCGTTGATAAGTACATACTTTTGTAAACGGTATATTTACATCCACGTATATTTCTGTTAACATTTGAATTGTAATTTCATTACTTCACAAAACATACATTCTGAAATCTAAATTTTGATTTTATATACATGTCACTAAAATTTTAGGCCTAATGGTGTAAAAATATTTCAGGGAGAGAAATGTAATGTTATTCAAACTAGTTTGAATAATCTAATGCATATTTGTTGAAACTGTGAGTATTTTGTTATTGGTTTATCCAAAACCTTGTATGAAATGAAGTAAATCTTGGATTAGGATTCAAATATCGATTATTTCAACAATCAGTCAGACATGTAAAGAGACTTCGTTTTCCGATAAACCCTTTAATCATTTTGCACACACAACCTTTGTTGTGAAGCTCAATTCCAGTTTTCCACGAATACAACCCGTTCAAAAACCTCCACGTTGTTCATAGCATTGAGTTGTTTTGTTTTGTTAAATTATAGGTCTCTTGTTGAAAATATGGTTGCTTTTACGAAATTAATTCCACTCTACGTATACAAAAATAAATATACATCGCTGTAGCACTATTACGAAATAAAGACTGAAGAATAATTTTGTACTAAATGTTAATGCGAGGAGAGAGTTTCGAGTGAGATAATATTTAATGCAACCTTGTTATTAAAATTGACGCAACCTATCCGGCTCTGCTGGTCTCGTTCAAGGAGGAGGATGAGCGTGTTAGAGAACTTCTTGGAAACCATGTCCCACAAGATGAAGCTAAGCTGTTGAGCAATGGGAGATTTACCTGCCTGATTTGTATTCATCGACCAATTTTTGACACAATAGTATGCTTGCAAACCATTGAAGAGGGAAACGACATTTATTTGAAGTCAGCAAACATATACAATGTAGAGAAGAGGCTGAGAGAAAAGCAATCCTAGAGAAGGAAATGAAGTCACTTTTGGGGTGCAAACGTGTGGAAGCTAAACATGTAGGCCTATTAAAATATCAAAGGAAACAAATTTTAGATACAGGAAAAGCTTCTAGAACCAAACTATCTGTTCATTCTGGTCCGAATAGTACAGATAAGCAAGTTTCAACCACAGTGAAACATTACCTGAAAAAAATGACTTGCAAAACTTCCTTGGAGAAAATTGTGGAGAGGAATCGAGAAAACCATGGGATTGATTTACAAAAGAATAGTCATGAATCGTGTTTAAAAGAAAGGTTGACCGATTCTAAACCTGTAATGACACATCCAGCAGAATCAACCGCATCAAGATCTGAAATCCAAGAATATGAAAGCAAGCTTCGTATGTCAGGATGGATCAAAGATGCGACAGGGAAATGGATTAAAGATCCGAATGTGGAGTTCGACAGTGATGAAGATGATATACCTCCTCCCCTTATTTAAGCCCTATTTAAGCTCGATATTTAAGCTCGCTTACTGGTTAGTATATACTGTAGGTGATTATTTGATCAGGAACAGTTTACTGAAGTCAAGGATGTTTGTTAGTTTCTAACATAACAAACTGCTTTTGTCGGGACCGAACCGTCGAACTTAGACTGTTACCTGAGCACAATAACATATGAACTATCTATTTAACCCATTAATACTCTAATCAATGCTAAAAGTAACGATCTTAAAAATCACCATTTATCCACCAAAGATATCTCCAAAGAATTATTTCTTTTGAACTAAAATTAAGAAGTATATCAGATCAAACAGATTGTAGTTGAAGGAAGAGTATACTTAAAAAGATAAATAACATTTACAATACAGAATAGTCGATTATATTAGTTTCTAGAATGAAAAGTATAATTTAGTTAGAATGATTGTCAGATAAAAAGGAAAGCTCATATTTCACTCAGCAGAAAAACAGTTTACCTCAGAATCACTTAGAGTGCTAAAATATTACCTTATTGTGAAAAAGGTTGATTTATGTGCAGTCAATATCCTAAGAGGAACTTTCTCTCCCTTTTTGAACTTTATCACGGAGAAATAAAATAAGAATACGTAAATAAAATGTCACTCATATAAAATACTTATGATAGTTTTACTCTGTGACATTACTAGGTTTGGTAGAGCTAAGAGAATTGAAATATTCTAATTTCTTTCTAATGTCTTATTTTTTCAGTCTATGTTTACCTAGTTAAAAAAATATTTAAAATGATCTATGATTTCTTCTTTTTACAACATTGATTAAGATGTTAAAGTTTTATTTCATATGAAGATTTGGATGGCAAATTTTGTAACGTTTCGTTAAGTTATACCTCAAATATAATGAAAACAAAAATGGTAAATTTAATAACACGTACAATGCTAAATAAGAAGGCTATTTACAAACAAGAAACTAATCTTTGTATCGTTGAATTTCAACCACGCACTAGTGTGGTTTTACTTTAATGGTGTAACTTTCAGGAATTTAAATTTGGTTCATCACTCTTTACTTTACAATAATTTAGCTTATTCATAGTTATACAGTTTTCTTTTTAAAAGTCGCCTTAAGAGTCCTTGGAGGCTAGCAGCCATCTTGAATAATTTAAAACCACTGCGAATAATGTCAAAGTGATTATAATTTAAATATCTAGTAAACTGTGAGATCTAATGTTCTTTGTAGTTTTGAATTTTTCTCCAAGGAGTCCATGGAAGCTAACGGCAATCTTGGATTTGAAATGCAATGAAATGAAAATCGTCTTTATTCTTGAGCGTTTTTCATATTACAACACATGTTTTTCAAAACAACTCACGTCAACATAAATAACATAAAACAATGGAAACTTTCAAATCTTAAGTTAGGCTAATTAAAAATTAAAATATGTTCCCTATTCCTTTTTATTTTATCAGTCTTCAAGCCATTTGTTATATATTTTTTAAAAGACTTTTCACTGTCCAACACCCCTGGCTCAGTCCTGGATGACAATATATTCCAGATTTTAGGGGAAAAATAAGAAAACCCACAACGGTCGGACTCACAGCGCACACGGGGCATCTCCAGCATGTCATCCTGCCGTGTGCATCGGGATCGCATCTCAGAGCGAGCTCTCAGTCTTACCTTCAGGTACTGAGGTCTCTCCTCTGACAGTACCCTCCGGATGATACAGGAAGAGCTTAAAAGGCACAGGTACCATAATAGCAGGTAGCATAATAGATTTGCCCACCATAATAGCAATGTTAATTCCGTTATTTTCAAACAGCCACTGAAGTGTTATTTACCATTTCAAAATATTATTTCAAACACTTAAATATCTAGTATACTGTTGGATTCGAAATTTTCGTTGTAGTTTTGTAACTGTTTTACGAGTTAGAACGTCTAGGCTGCAAAGGGCTCTTAATTTCCAATTAGATTTCCAGCTACATTGTTGGTAAATACTCAGGTCATAAGAAACATTTTTACTCACTGAAATCACTGTGTAAAGATCAGATAGCTTTGAAACAATAAAAGCCTAGGTAGCTTTGATTTGTGAATCGAAGATGGGGCTTTTAACTCAAGCGAATCGCCCAAATAAAAATAAATACTGTTGAAAACAGCTGTATGATACTAAAGGGTCCTCATCGACAGCATGGACAGACACTAAGGAATTTTAACTGATAGTTAACTGTAGTAAAGTGACAACATTTCTATTGTTGACTTGACAAAGCACCGGGCAAAATCAAGCGGAACTAGAAATGTATCAGATATTTGAATCAGAGTTAAGCAAATGTCTGTGGATTATAAGCGTGCTTCTCATTGGAAGATAATTTGAAATACTAGAATTGCATGTTTAAATATTATTAAGACAAACGTTGATTTATTTGTTAATGGAACGCCAGAGGATTACATGCGTTAAACAAAGTTTACAATTTAACATGTTTTTGACAACGCCCCAAGGGAAATCCCCTCGTATGATGGATTTGCTGACACAACAAATTACAGCATCAGCTTAGTTGGGCACCGAGCTGCATCAATCATACCAGCATCTCTTCAAGTCAGCTTTTGCTCTAGGAATTATCTAGCTTAATTAATGCCAGACATCTAAGCTTAATATGTCCATGCAAAATATTAATTTGTATTAGGTTAGTACATATATAACAAAAAAGATTTAACTGAACCACGCCATTAGAGGTTGTTTCAAGTTGTAGTCATATTCTTATCTGTCTACACGAGTAACGGTTGCGCACAATGATTTAAAAAAACGGCTTCTATGATTTCCTCTAAATTGTTGGGAATATCTTAGTTTCATACTAAAAACAATATCCATGCTAGCCACTGTTCTGGAAGAAATCGTTTTTCGTTAAAAACTTTAAATTAAATTTTAATATTTTTAATAATAGTCTTATGGAACGGTAGGTAGCGAAGACAGCTTTACGAAAATGTAAATAAATGAATTGTAACTTATACTTGTAATAAATAATCTACAGTACAGTGAAAAGCTACTAAATACAGTGCAAAAGAAAAAGACATTTCTATAAATACCATTTGGAATTGTTTATTTAATACTCTTGGGGTATTTTATTGATCAATGGGATGATCACGACTGTTCAAAGTCGTAGAACATTTTACAGCAAAAGAGATTATACACTACTGCTGAACAAAGAGTATTGAGGAAAACAAGGACGTTCTGTAACTTTTGACGAAGTGCCATATGAACGGGCGCCTTGTTTGGACATAACACGGATTATAAAAATATAAACTACATTGATTATAAACAAATAAATGGTCCGAAAATAAACATGTTTGTAATAGTATTTCAATGTAACTGTCAAAAACCGTTCAAAACACGTGTAGAGATTATGAGTATAAGATTCTATCCAGTGATGTCATTCTTTAATGTTTTTGATCCATAACGTTTATGTTCTAATATCCGTGGACGATCCCATTGTTGCGACGTTCCGCGATCCAAGCATGTCGCAACCAGAGAGCGCATAATATTTGCAACTCGCAACAATGCTGGTCAACAGCTGATATGTTACACGTATTATCACGAAAAAGTTCTACTAGAATTTTGAATGGTTTTCGCGTATTTTCAATATTGATTGTTTGTCTGTATGGAAATTATTGTTGATTAAATTAAGAATGAAGTGGGAACCGAAGAGAAATTGGCTTTACACCTTAATTAAACGTAGCTAAATTGAAAATGGAGATAGAATAATTTACACGTAAAACTAAATATTAAGTATTTTATGCTTGATATGTTTTTAGAAATATATTTATTGGAACTAGAGTTTCAAATTAATACTTGAATACTTTAATTTGAAATAGCAACCATACAAAAGAACTTATTTTAAACCAAGTATGAATGGAGATGAGTGTAATTGTATCATTTTAAAATTATTGTTGTATTTAAAAATATTTTAAATATGGTTCAGTATAAAAACTAACCTCTTCACACTCGTATTACAATATGACTCAGCTTAAAAAATGACAATATTGTAATAATACTATTTGTAAAAGTAGAATCTTCATTTTAGTAATTTTTACTGTGTCAGTAATGCGAGTATGTTTAGGCCTGCAATGGTTTATCAATGACTTAACAAAATGCTGTGCAAATAGCACCAATACTTGAGCATGATAAAATGTTATCATGTAATTTGTTTTATTAAATATTTTGGATTGTATTTAATAAAATAATGGAAGTTGTACATTTGTGGGCCTATGTTTATTTTTTAACGTCTCAAACGAATGAAACTCCACGAGCAATGCTCGGTCCACTGTTACTATTTATTGTATTACTTAATTTATTAATTGCATTTTGACATTTTTATGTTTTTTCCTATTCAAATACGTTTATTTGGCTCTTTTACTTTGCCGCAGCTATTTCTTTGGTTTTTTTAACTTCAGGTCAAACTTTTACAGGTAGATCAGTTGGTTATCTTAAACCAATTAAGCACCTGGCCATTTTATTACTTTAAAACTATGATTACCGTATAAAATATTCAGTCATAGAGAAATTACCACGAAATATTGTACAATATGTTAATTGAGGCGTCGAGAGGCCAAGGGAGATATGTGACTTTTTAAAAAATGTTGTCATGGTAACGGGTTTTGTTAAAAAAGGGTGGAATTTCAACAAATAATTCACTTATATCCCTTGGCCTCCAAACTAAACACCTAAGAGTTGGAAGCCAAGGGGTATAAGTGAATTTATTTTTTTTTTTTATGACCATGAAAAAAATACAATGACATTTTAAAAAAGTCACATATCTCTTTTGGCCTCTCGACGCCTCAATTAGTTAATGATTTTTTAAGATACATAACCATGATGGATCTGTAATTTGAATGTAGTATTCCAACAATTAGATAGACGTAAAGAGACTATAAAACGAACATTCAATCATTTGGCGCAACCTTTGTTGTGGGAGTGGATTTCTGTCTAACTAATTCTGAACATGAAAATTAGTAATACTCAAACTTTGTACAGAACATTGAGATG